CCTGCAGATTTTTTTAAAATAAATATTTTCCATACAAATTACGATGTTATTAAACGGAATAAACCAGGTCTTTTTAAACCTTTCTGGATTGTTACTTCTTCTATTAACTGCTCTTTGGAGTTTGAATCATTTCTTTCATGAACTATGTGAGGCAGAAAGACGTTACAGATTCCCCTATTTGCTGATTCATGCATGGTTACCTCCAAGTCTGTGTTTTCACATTTAGCAATCATTGTATTGTTTTTGACGGTTACGATTTTTTTTTTTATCTTGACAGTTAATCCTTCGTTTCACTTGACAGGATGCTTCAAGTAAGCGTGCAGCTGTGTTGCAGTGGCTTAGTCATGAGTCACTCTTGACTAAAAGGTTTCTCTTTCCATCATTATACCCACACCGTCTCAGCGCCAAACTGCTCAAAACCAATTAGTTGCCCTAACTTAGTCATCTTAAGTAAGTTTTACTCAAATTTTTTGAGGCAACGAGTTTGCATAGTTTTTTAAGTTCTGGGAACTAATGAAATTTTACAGTGTATGTGTCAGTGAAATTTTCTATAATATAGACGGTACTTTCACACACTGTCTTATTTCCTTAAGGGTCATCACGACAAGTGCATCTGCATATTTGATATGGCAGTTTTGTTTGGTTTATTTATTTTAATAAAATTCTAAATGCATTTCCTGATGCTCCTGTCCCATACAGGCTGGGGACAGACAAAAAACTGGAAATCTTTTGTAAATTGGTAACCACTACAGTATGGCGACACATGCAGTTATCTATAATAAAGAATCCAACAACACCTGGGATTTATTGTCACACCTGCAAGTGAGCTCAGTTTTCAGCTTAAACAATGTTTTTTTATTTGCACAGACAGACAGATGTTTTTTTGATCCCACACGGGAATTTGCTGTGTTACAGCAACATGATAAAAAGTAAAAAATAGTACAGTCTACAATTCACAAGAAATAAACAACACAGTTATAGAAAAGTGCCTCTTGGTAACAGGCTTATACTGTGAGATAAGAGTAGGAATTAATACATTTACAACAGAGATAAAAACCAAAGAACAGTAAAAATTAAGTTAGTAAAAAACAGTGAAGGTAAGACTGACAGAGTGTAAGAGAGAAGTGCAAATTTCATTAATAAAAAATATTTATACAGTAAATATAAGAAGAACAGCTGAATGAAAGTAAAATATAAAATATGTTTGGGCTTTTGTGCCTGGCAGGTGTGATCACGTGTCACAGAATGAAGAGCTTCATAGAGAACGGTAGGAGTGATTTCCTGTAGAGTTCTTTATGGCAGCGAGGTTGAATCAGTCTGAGGGGGAAGGAGCTCTGCTGCCTCAGAAGTGAGGAGTGGAGCTGTTGTGACGGGCTGTCCATGATGGAGGGCAGTTTGTTCAGTGACCTCGTGTTCCTCACTCCAAACACCTCCAATTTCAGACCAATGATGACTGCGGCCTTGCAGATTAGTTTCTTGATCCTGATGGCATCTCTGTCACCGATGCTGCCCCTCCCCCCAAGTAGACAACAGCAAAATAGATGCCATTCACTAACAACACCTTACTGCTTCTTCCTACATTTTATTAGTGAAATGAATAATTGTGTTTTTCTGTCAATGACATTTTATGGTAAATGACCTTGTCATCTGCATACTGTACTGTGTGAGGGTTTCCTGGAGTAAACTTGCAGGGTAGCAATAGGAAACATGTCATTGGAACAATTTTTACAGTAAGTATTGTGCTGGAGTGAAGATGCTTTGAAAGTGCCTGGATCTGTACCTGTATCATTTAGCAGAGGGCGCGTTTATTTCTTGGTACATTTAGATCAGTTTCTATTATGAGTTTCCTGGTTTGAAACAGTCCTGACTGCTACCTGTCGATCATCCACACTAGATGTATTTCCAAAGAAGCCTTGGGTCATTCAGGCCAGTCGATGCTTCTTCCTTTCTCTGACTGGATTTTTTAGAAGATGTGTTGGATGAAAGACGAGGTAGAGAAGAGTGTGTTCACAGCTATCCCAAGTTTGGCCAACAGGCAGTAGATTCTTGGACGCTTGAATCACATTGATTTATGAAATAGTGGTCTAAATGCTTTCTTCGGCCATCATGATCTTCTGTTACTCCTGCAGCATGGATCAGCTGTGGCGTGGTGCCCAGGGATTTAAAAAGCAGAAAGCTTTTAAGATTATTATGGCAGGCATTGTGGTTTTCTTCCTCTGTTGGAAGCTGTACAATATCACACGCTGAAAACATTTCATTTTGACACAAGCAACAAAGCTTGTTCAGTCACAGCATCTGATTCTGTATGCCTTCGTGGGTGTGGAATTCCAGTATCGGCTCCTGAGCATTCCCAGGTCTCTGTGTTCTGGTCAATCTGACCCCCCATCCCCTTCCTTGATGTCAAACAAATCTTATCAAGTCTACAAAACGGACATGAATGGACACGAAGCCAAAAACATCAGCACATCCATTGTATGTTTGTATATTTTTTGTGTTATATAACCTGAAAGAAGAAGTGGCTACTTTGTTTTCTGTATGTTACACTGCATTTATTAGCAGTGTAACATAAACCTAGCACAATCAAGTCTGTTTGCAGCATTAAAGTACACCCACACAGCCAACAGACTAATTAAAGGAATCTTTGGTGATCATTCTATGAAATTGGACTCACTTGCTGATAAAACCATTGCGTTGGAAACAGCTATCAAAACAGTGCACAACAGTTGAAAAAACACAGAACAGTTGGTAAATTCCTCTGTGTACTCCATGATTCAGGTCCCGTTTGAAGCCTCTAGTTTGTTTGATTTACTTTATTTGGAGGAATGACGGCAGATGAATTAGCTTTCATTCACCTTTTTGTTGAAAACAACCTAAAACTTACAAAAAATAACTTGATAATACACATATATGTAAGACATCGAACCTAAAACTCAAACCTGTAAAAATATGTACAAACAAACATAATTAAAAACATATAACAAAATCCAGAGTAGAAACTGATGAAGAAAAGTACAAATTGGGGTTTGCTGTAATTCTAAGTGACTGAAAGCAATCCTTTGAACGTCTCCAAATAACACAAGTGGAGGTGTACATCTCCACTTGTGTTATTTAGGTGAGTTCAGTTAAGGTCTGTTCATTTTTAGACATCCTTTTAAAAATAACAGGATTTCCAGGGGATGTCGATCCCACCCTGGACTATACCCTTTATAGTCATCAGGTGAGGATTTTACTTACAATACTAAAGGCTAAATTCATTTTCATAGACAAAATGCTTATTTTTCATATAATTAAATTTTGTCTTAAAAAAAACTCTTCATACAGTCAGCATCGTAAAAGTGAAAACATCTTTCAAAATTCAAATTTACTATGCGCAGTTCATTTTAACATGTCTCCATTGTGCTTCAAAAATGCTTTATTTAAAACAAACTACGACAAAATAACTATGGATAAAAAAGCAATATGGATATTTGCTACATTTTGGTATATATGGAAACAACAACAAAACAAATCTGCAGAAGATATATTAGAGGTATATAAGTCATGCAGAGAGATTTTTTTTTACAGTGCATACTGCAAGAAAGTAAATGACGTGTGGTGAAATTATGGCCACTTTTTCCTCTGTCACTAGTTTATACAAATGAAGCTTATGTGCAAGTTCAATAACGAAGATCTGTATTCACTCATCCTGGGTCAAAGTATTCACCAAGTAGCTGAATTCTGTATTTTAACCATGATCAGTTTTTTCTCCTTAGCTCTCAGCGTAGTAAATAAGCACATATGCACAGTTCTATTTTATTAATCTCCCAGAGATTTTTAGGGTTTTTTATGAATATGAAAATTGAAAAACACAGGCTGCAGGGCTGAAAGCTGTAAAAGCTTTTCTATTTAATTTGTGGCATAATAACAAATGCATGTATTCTGGAAATGCTGTGTATTGCTGGTGATAATGAAGACCACCATTAGGGCTGTAGTAATAAAGCTTATGTGTAAATTCAATACAGAAGATCTGTAATCACACACTTGCCTGCTTTCCTGGGTGTGTCTACTGCTTTTCCACACTGCTAATCTCACAAGTGACATCATTATTCTAGTCCAATCATCTTCGCACTCGCCTTCTTTGAGCCAATCAGCCTCTGCTTCGGTTTAAATCTGTCCACTCCATCATTCTCCCTTTCAGACTCTCTTTTATGCAACTCACCTCCTCCCCAGCTACACCTCAGACACCTTAGCCAGAGCTCTACTCAACCCTCAGTTTTCATCTTCACCACCTCCACCAGTGTCTAGACTCTGAGGGGATCCTGTTAAAAACTCAATCACTGGGATTCGGTTCTGCCATGATGAGTCATTGGACTCTAATCACCAAATACATTATTTTCTCCATCTCAATAAATCATGCTTAATCCTTACAAGTGATCTCTCCTTATTGAAAAAGCATTGATGCTGATCTAAAAAGTGTTTATGGTGCATGTTAGTGATTTTTTAATTGTTAAATTCTGATGAGCTGTATTAACAAATTTAGCAGTTTGAAAAAAGTGAAAAACGTTTGTTGACACATCTGTAACATCATAAAAACAATGCAGTTTTAAATATAAAACACACATCTTGTATAAACTTCAGCAAAAACAAAAACAAAATCTGATAAAAATGTAAAATTAACATTTAAATGAGTAAATATGGTTTTAAATGCTAAGTTTACTTTTAGTTAAAAGGCTGTTCCAAAGTATTTGTGTGTGTTTGGGTGCAAAAAAACAATGTAAATAAATAATGTTGCTGAATAAAAAGTAATTGACATCTTCACCGTTTCAAGCAGAGTCAAAACAGAGCACAGGGATGGGCAACTCCAGGCTTCGAGGGGCTGGTGTCCTGCAGGTTTAAGATGTGTCCTTGATCCAACACAGCTGATTTAAATGGCTAAATTCTCCACAGGCCTGGTAATGAACTAATCATTAATTTCAGGTGTGTTGACCCTGGATGATATCTAAAACCTGCAGGACACCGGCCCTCGACGCCTGGAGTTGCCCACCAATGACATAAAAAGAAACATGAAACTATGTTTATGGCAATAAAGTTACAAAAAGTGTTTATGTGTTGTTTAATGTAAGAAGTCAGTAATACTATCACAGATAACAGTTTGCAGTATATCAACTTTCAATGATTACAGCGTTAGCTTAATGATAAATGTGTTAAAATCAGTTCACTAACAGCACAGATATTTCACTATTGATTAAAAAAAAACTATATATTTTTATTTAAAATAATAAGAAAGAGCTACATTTTGTGCTTTTGGATTAGTATGAGTCACCGTGATGGATCTCCAAAACCTTAGCATTATAGTGAAATGTGAAAGTAGTTTTTGTAGATAAATATCTACTTGTCAGTTACACAGAATAAAGTCCTCCATGCGTTGACATGAGATTGAATTCATATCCTCTCAGGAGTGAAACAACATGCTGCTCACATCTGAGTCAGAAGAGAGCATATTTCTCTTTTCATCTTCAATAAGCTAACGGATTCTCTACAACCGTCACCTGTTTCAGCTCTTGCTGTTGATCCTGACCGTGGTCAGGCTGCTGTCTCTGGTCTACACCAAGATCCCAGAGTGAGCCTTTTGGTTCAGTTTTACTACATCTCAGCATGGCCAGTAAGTGTTGCCTGAAGTTTCCACACAGGCCGAGATACAGCAGAGGCCTCAGGCTGGCGTGAAGGCAGCCTAACGCAGAGGTGACCGTGAGAAGGGTTTTTAGTGAACTTTCAGAACTTTCATGTGAATTGTTAGGATGTTTCTGAAGTCTGTTCTGGAGAGTGTCCAAAACAAGTATGAAGTTGTACGGCATCCAACACAGACAGAATACGACCACCAGAGACAGGATGACGGTGACATTTCTCTGGATTCGGGCCCCATTAGAGCTGCACTGCCGCCATAGCATATGTGAGAAGATCATCAGCATGAATGCAGGTACCACCAAGCCAAATATGTGGTGGAGCAGGCGTGACCACAACTGCCAGTCAGTTCCAGATTGAGGGTAGATATTAACACAAGTATTATCTTCTGTGTAATTATTTTTACCCACCAGGAAAATCCAGTCAGGTGCAGTGAGGAGGACAGAGATAAGCCAGACTAACAGGCAGCTGATGTGAACTAACCAGTGCCTCCCGTGGGAATATAACTGGATTCCACGGATGGATGACAGATAGTTTTGAAGACTGATGCAAACCAGCAGAAGGACCCCACAGTAGTAGTTGAGCTAGAAGAAGACAGGGAGAACTTTTAGTGTAAGACACAAACCTCTAACATCTATAAAAATTACACTCGACTCCATCTTGCCTCAATGACTACCGCCCAGTAGCACTCACCCCCATCATCACTAAGTGCTTAGAGCAGCTGGTCCTAGCACACTTCAAATCCTGTCTCCCCCCCACCCTGGACCCCCACCAATTCGCATACCGCCAGAACAGGAGCACAGAGGATGCAGTCTCCATCGCACTGCACTCTGTCCTCTCACACCTGGACAACAACAACACCTACGCCAGAATGCTGTTTATAGACTTCAGTTCAGCGTTCAATACAATCCACCCCTCACAACTCATCAGGAAACTGACAGACCTGGGCATCAGTTCCCTCATCTGCAAATGGTTACTGGACTTCCTGACCAACCGCCCCCAACATGTCCGGCTGGATAACCACTGCTCATCTACCATCACAATGAACACCGGTGTACCACAAGGCTGTGTGATGAGCCCTTTCCTCTACTCCCTCTTCACCCACGACTGCAGACCTGCTGATGGTTCCAACACCATCATTAAGTTTGCAGATGACACCACGGTGATTGGTCTCATCAGTGACAACGATGAGGCCGCCTACAGGGAGGAGGTGGATCGTCTGGCTGAGTGGTGCGACACAAACAACCTGCTGCTTAACACCGAGAAGACCAAGGAGCTCATCGTGGACTACAGGAGGAATGCTGACCCACATCCACCCATCCACATTAAGGGGACGGCTGTGGAGCGTGTGAGCAGCTTCAAGTTCCTGGGAGTCCACATCTCCGAGGATCTCACCTGGACGACCAACTGCTCCAAGCTGGTCAAGAAGGCTCACCAGCGCCTCTTCTTCTTGAGGACTCTGAGGAAGAACCACCTGTCCTCAGACATCCTGGTGAACTTCTATCGCTGCACCATCGAGAGCATCCTGACCAACTGTATAACAGTCTGGTACGGGAACTGCTCTGCCTCGGACCGGAAGGCGTTGCAGAGGGTCGTGAAAACTGCCCAGCGCATCGCCGGAGCACCACTTCCTGCCATAAAAGATATCTACAGGAAGCGGTGTCTGAAAAGGGCTGGAAAAATCATCAAAGACCCCAGTCACCCATCACATGGACTCTTCACCCTCCTGCCCTCTGGGAGGCGCCACAGGAGCCTCCGGACTAAGACCACCAGGTACCGGAACAGCTTCTTCCCCACAGCTGTCAGACTCCTGAACTCTGCCTCCTGACATCTGACCCACGTTAAACTCATGGACTGAACATACACACCCCCACAATGGACAACTGTACCCTCAAACACAATAATAATAACATGGAGTGAACCACCACTCACAACCACTAGCACTTTATATATCCTCTGTAGAAACTATCTACACCCTCACTTATCTTAACTGCACTACTGTATAGCTCTGTGTAAATAATCATTCTGTACATTCAATAATCTTTAATCCTACAACTGTTTACAACTTGCATAGTTCCCATTTCTGTATAGCTGTATATCTCAGATTTCTGTAAAGTTATTTATTTCATATTCTGTATAGTTTTTCATATTTATATCCTGTTCATAGCCTGCACATAGCTTGTACTCACTACAGCCTGTACATACTTAGTTATAGAATATTCACAACATACTTCATACCGTGTACATTATAACATACCATAATAGACCCATTTCTGTAATATACTTACATATCTATATTATTGCTAATATATATTGTAATATACCTATATCACTAAAGCACTTCTGGATGGATGCAAACTGCATTTCGTTGCCCTGTACCTGTGCATGTGCAATGACAATAAAGTTGAATTCTAATTCTAATTCTAATTCTAATTCACTTTCACTTCTGTCCTACTCTAAACCTCTGTATCTAATCTTGTTCTCATCTTAAACATGTTTTAAGTACTCAGAGGATGTCACGTGTCATCCTGTTGAGTATAATGATTCTGTTCTGCATGTTCTGCCAAGAATCTGCAAAAGAGCAGGAAATGACAGAGTGCAGCCAAATATAATCCAAGCCAAAACAACTTTCTCACAGCTTCACAGAAAATGTATTACTTTCACTTTCAGTCTTTATCTGTTCCACACAACATCTGGTCCTTACCTTGAAAACGACCCCAAAGACCCAGCTGAAAATCCCCCAAAACCACTCACAAAGCTCAGTTGTCTGTGCAGCCCAGAAGGGCAGCATTAACAGGAGGAGGATGTCCGCGATACTCAGGTGGAGAATAAAGGTGTCCGATATGCGCCACAGTCTCCTCTTTTGAACCAGAACTGTCAGGAGAATAATATTTCCCAGGATTCCAACAAAAAACACTATGGAGTACAGAGCAGGGACCCACACTGCCTCACTGCCTCTTTTCACAAAAGACTCATCCCCTGGATAGTCGTAGGTGATGTTAGGGTCATAGTCAATTCCACTGTACACATCCAGATCATCTGTACTCATATTCATGTTCTGTTGAACCAAAACAAAAAGTTAAAACACATGTGTTGAAACACAGAGAGAAGACAAAAGTGCTGCAGTGCCTCAGAAGCTCTATGTCAAAATAGATTCCTCTCTCTTTCTTTCTCTCTGGGTAAAAGTGAAGGCAGTTCCCTGACATTTCCCTTTGGGAAGCCCAGATGAGCCTTTATAACACATACACAAACACATCACAACTCATATGGTGTGATGTAGCAATCGTGGAGTGGACATAAAAGGAAAGTACAGTACTCTGTTTCCCTTTGGTAAGCCCAGCTTATAGTGAATGCAAAACATACAACAACTCACATGTTGTGATTTAGCAATTGTGCGGCTGACATAGACAGAAAGTACAGTTCTCCTTAGTCTCTCACACTCTCACACTCTCTCTCTCTCTCTCTCTCTCTCTCTCTCTCTCACACACACACACACACACACACACAAACACACACACACATTTTTAATCTATAAAACTGCCTCCCAGCTTTCCTTTTTACCGTTGTTAAAATAAAGCTTCTACAAAACCAGCTAAGCTTGCGCACACAGTTATTGCAAACAGAAAGTAGACAGAATTATCAGTAACTTCTATGGCTGCCAGTAAAATGTTCATAATGTTAAAAGACATATTGTAGGAGGGCTGATATATGCAAACAAATGCACTTACTTCACATAAAGAGCTTCAGCTGCAGAGTTTGAGAAGCTTTCTGCGCGTATGATACTAAAAGCAGGACCTCAGTATGTCCTACCGCTTCAACTCCAAGTAAACCAGTGTTAAAGGATCAGTACTGGTCGGATGTTTCTCGCTTTGCCTGGGTTGACGTAGAATGCAGGGCAAAAAAACCGTCAAAACCGCACATAAAGAGCTTCTAACACTAGAGGGAGCTGTTGACAACATGACTTTGTGAGATGGGATGCAGGGCAAGGGCACAGTCGTTTTAACAGCCACTTGACTTCACCCGTTCCAGGAATTGAATTTTAATCAAGATTGTCAAATTTGGATTAATTGAATTTAAAAAAAATGCATTCCTTTGAAAAAAGTTTCAAAGACAAACTTTGATCGATACAAAGAGAAATATGTTGCAAAATGCGAGAACTAAGAGATAAGAACATTTCAAAAAACACAATTCTGTTGCTCCCTGGCAGCAAAATATACGAAATGAGATGTGGTTGAAGACTTTTCCACAACACTATATGTCACACAAAGCTACAGTAAAACAACAAAATACATTACATGATGGATATCCGTTGCGGATTTTCTCCCATATCACGTATCATTTGTCTAGCTGTTTGATGTACCAATATGATAAATATATGTTACAGGTGGCTGTAGATATTCACTGTTGTTTCTCTCTCCAGACCTTCTATGGAATTATATTTATCCCAAAACAAATAAACCAAGCAAATAATTTCATTCCACGGGTGCAATTAAATCCCTTGCGTGTAAATTTAACGTTTAGTACTCAGCAGCCACGTGCAGAAAGAAGCCATTGCGCACGGGAGACTGTCTGATTTGCATGCGCTACGCCAGTTTTATGCTTTCGCATAGCTCTCTGCGAGAAATCCTGCTTTCGCGAAAAAACAACTTTTGACTGTGTGGACGCGAAGCCCAAAGGAGGACGGGGTCCTAATGTGATTGGTCACTTTAATGGCCACTTCAGGGTACTGCGGAAACTGAGTTACACGTGAGGAATTAAATTGCGGCCGAGAACAGAAATAATTTCACTGGCGTAAAAAAAAAAAAAAATCATGACAAATATAATTCCATGGATAATATTCATTTGATTTAGATTTTTTTTAGGCCTTCTCTTGTACACTTTCTTCAGGCTTTTTAGGGACACACCGAGACCAGAGCAATATTTTTAATTATAATCAGAAATTCTGTGTCCAATATTACAATACACCCACAGGACCAAAAGTATTTAATTAAATTACTTTACTTGATGCGCAAAGAGCTTTAGAAACAAGCCATTTAAAACATCTTACAGCCGGTAAATTTCGTTGATGAGGTCTACTGGTCTCCAGGTTTCAGTTGCAACTTGAAGCCTGTCTACTGGTTTGCTCAATTTTCTTCTTTTGACAGAAAAATTAGTCTTTAATTATCTTTGCAGTGAAAAAAATTCTTAGATTTGAAAAAAGAGAGCCTTATTATTACATGCATAAAGATAAAACATAAAGCCTAAAACTCAAACCTGGCAAAGAATGTAAACAAACATAATTAAAAACATCTATACAACAACATCAACAGCACAAACATTTAAGAACAAAAAGTAAAAACAAGGAAAGCAGAACAAATGGTGACTAAGCAGTGGTATAAAAAAGCATTCATATCCCCGTTATGCTGTTACTGCTTAATAAAATCCTTGCCTTCAGGAGTTTTGTAATCAATGAAAAGAGTGTAGGAACTTTAATCTCACTTTAAATACAGGTGTTCTGTGAAGGTCTCAGAGATTTGTTGGTGATCATCAGTGAATAAAAAGCATCATGAAGATTAAGGGATGCACCAGACAGGACGGGGATGAAGTTATGAAAAAGTTTAAAGCAGGGATAGGTTATAGAAACATTTCCCAAACTCTGAACATCTCACAAAGCAATGTTTAATGCCTCATCTGAAAATGGAAAGAGTGTGGCACAACTGCAAACTACCAAGGCATGCTCATCCACCTAAACTGACAGGCTTGACATGCCTACTTGCAAAATGCTGTGTGGTGGAAAACTAACACTGCACCCCATCCCCACCATCAAACATGGTGGTGGCAGCCACATGATGTTCAACCTGTTCAAGGCTGCAAAAGGATTATGACTCAAACAGGGGTCCAGATGTAATTATTATTGTGAATCTCTGGTGAGACTAGAAAATTGCCGTTAACAGAGGCTCTCCATGCAGTCTGACCGAACTGAAGCTATTTTGGAAAAAAGGAATGAGCAAAAAATATAGTCTGTAGAGACATACCTGAAAAGACTTGCAGCTGTAAAGGTGGTTTGATAAAGTATTGATTCAGGGGACTGAATACAAATACATGCCACGTGTTTCAAATTTGTAAAAAATGTTTAACACCATGTATCATTTTACTCCCACTTCATAATTTTGCACCACTTTATGTTGGTCTATTAGATAAAATCTGAATAAAATACATTTTGGTTTGTGATTGTAATGTGAGAAAATGTGGAAAAGTTCAAAGAGTATGAATACTTTTTCAAGACACTGTAACTTTCAGGCTTGATTATTGTTTGGCCAACTGATCAGTATGAGAGTAAGATAAGATAAGATAACCTTTATTAGTCCCACGTGTGGGAAATTTGTTTTGCTACAGCAGAAAGTGGACAGTACAAAGTTAGAGTACAGAGTAAGTAACAGTTTCCTAGTGACTGGTACAAAATTGAATGTTTTAATGTTGTAATGCTTTCTGTTACACAGAACTGTGACTGAATAAAAGCAGTCCTTTAAATAAGACTGGTATACAACTCCATCTGTTTTATTCGGGGACTCAAGTGTATTACACCGAGTTTGTATCCATGCTGCTTTTGGAAATAGCAGGATTTCCAGACGATGTGGATCCCAAAGCACTCTTAAATGAGGATTTTTACTTTCAATTTTTAAGAGATAAATACATTTTTGCTAATTAATGAAATAATTAAATTCATTGCAGTTTTTTCCTCACAAAATTTCTTAAAGAGTTTTTTTTAAAACTATCCACAAAGCACTACATCTTTTAAAATTGAAATTTACAATCTACAGAGATTTACACAGTTCATTTAGCATGTTCAAACACTTCTTAAAATTGCCACATTTAAAACCAACTCTTAAAAAAATTCAACTATATGGACAATTGGTGGAAAATAATGTACATAGTTTGGAAATACTGTATATTGTTGATGAGGGAATAATAAATGGCACTTTTGCTGATGTAAAAGTTTTAGCTGTATAAAGAACATGTGGAACATTATAAAAAATGTTTTAGACATAAACACACATTTTAAGCAAAAATCTTAAAAGCAAAAATAAAATTAAAATAACAAATTAACAATTAAATAAGTCAAAATGTTCCTTTATGGTGATTTTACTTTCAGTCTGAAGGCTACTCCGCAGCACTGACTAAAGGAAAGGAGCTGGAGATGTTCCTATTTTCATTCGAGTGAACAAGACTAGAAATGAGTACATCAGAGGGATGGCCCAGGTTCAACAGTTTGTAGACAAAGTTAGAGAGACATGGCTGACATGCTTTGGACATATGCAGAGGAGATGCCAATCAGGAGCAATCCACAGAAGAGATTTACGGATATAGTGAAAAAGACGATGAAGAGGGTTGGTGTGACAGTGATGGATGCTGAGGATAGGTGAAAATGAAAGCAGATAATCTGCTCTGGCGACCCAGCTGAAAGGAAAAGTAAAAGAAGATGAAAACATAGATAGGGTGAGTATGTGTTACATCGATTATGTTGATTAGAGGTAACCATTTGGGAGAGGCGTCTATTTAAATTCAGTTTGAATTATTGTTATTCTTGGTCAAAGGAATAAAAAATACAAAGAAAAACAGTTTCAATGGTTTTTCTTGGTGTGGCCATTAAAGTGTTAATTCATTAATTGTCAATCCATAGTCAGGAGTGTAACAATATTTTGCTCACATCTGAGTCACAAGAGGGTATTTATGTCTGTTCATCTTCAACAAGCTAACAGATTCTCTACAGCCATCATCCGTTCCAGCTCTTCCTGTTGATCCTGACCGTGATCAGGCTGCTGTCTCTGGTCTACACCAAGATCCCAGAGTGAGCCTTTTGGTTCAGTTTTACTACATCTCAGCATGGCCAGTAAGTGTTGCCTGAAGTTTCCACACAGGCCGAGATACAGCAGAGGCCTCAGGCTGGCGTGAAGGCAGCCTAACGCAGAGGTGACCATGAGAAAGGTCTTTAATAAACTTTCAGAACCTTCTTGTGAATCGTTAGCAGGATCCCGAAGTCTGTTCTGGAGAGTGTCCAAAACAAGTATGAAGTTGTACGGCATCCAACACAGACAGAATACGACCACCAGAGACAGGATGACGGTGACATTTCTCGGGATTGGGAGGCCATTACAGCTGCACTGCCGCCGTAGCATATGTGAGCAAAAGATCATCAACATGAGTCCAGGTAGCACCAAGCCAAATATGTGGTGGAGCAGGCGTGACCACAACTGCCAGTCAGTTCCAGATTGAGGGTAGATATTAACACAAGTATTAACTTCTGTGTAATTATTTTTACCCACCAGGAAAATCCAGTCAGGTGCAGTGAGGAGGACAGAGATAAGCCAGACTGACAGGCAGCTGATATGAACTAACCAGCGCCTCCCGTGGGAATATAACTGGATGCCATGGATGACAGAGAGGTAGTTTTGAAGACTGATGCAAACCAGCAGAAAGATCCCACAGTAGTAGTTGAGCTAGAAGAAGACAGGGAGAACTTTTAGCGTAAGACACAAACCTCTAACATCTATAAAAATTACACTTCATTTCTTCCCTTTCACTTCTGTCCTACTCTAAACTGCTGTTCTAAGCGTGTTCTCTTTGAAAATGTTAAATACTCACTGTCTATTGAGTACAATGACTCTGTTCATACTCAGTGGATGTCACTATCATACTGTTGAATACAATGACTCTGTTCAGCTTTCTCACAGCTTCACTGAAAATGTCTTGTTTTCACTTTCAGTCTCTGTTTCACATAACATCTGGTTTTTACCTTGAAAACGACCCCAAACATATGGCTGAAAGTGCCAAAGAACCAGTCACAAAGCTGAGTTGTCTGTGCAGCCCAGAAGGGCAGCATTAACAGGAGGAGGATGTCCATAAAACTCAGGTGGAGAATAAAGGTGTCCGATAGGCTCCACTGTCTCCTTTTTTGAACCAGAACTCTCAGGAGAATAATATTTCCCAGGATTCCAACAAAAAACACTACAGCATACAGAGCAGGGACCCACACTGCCTCACTGCCTCTTTCCACAGGAACATTATCCACTGTGCTGTTAAACACTGTAAACACTGTAGTGTTATTCACTGTATTTGCTGCATCGTAATCATAATCACGGGTGTTGTTCCTGCCATATTCCAAATAGTCATCCGACTCCTTTAAGATTCCGCCAGTATCCACATGCAGCTGTGCCATGTCCATATACTGTGGAGACAAAAACAGAACAAACAAAAATACATCAGTGCCTCAGAAGCTGTATATGAGAAAGTGAAGCCAGTTCGCTGAAATCTCCCCATAGGAAACCCCTAACACAGACACACCCCATTTGCTGATTGGTAGCTTAAAGCCCCTCAGGCACAGAAAGAGTTATAACCACTTTAACTTCTTCTCAAAATTGCCACTTCATTGCCAATTATTAATATTTGTTATTTGTCATTCATGTAATTCATTATTTTATGTCAGAAATTGCCATAGTGACACAAAATTCTAGAATTTCTAACAAGGTCCAAAACAGAAAGTGAAGCTTTATTTTATTTTAGTTTCAGCTCTCCATTGTGTTATCCTTTGTTTTCTTTATGTAATATGCAGTTGTTTGGCAGCAGGACTAGAGCAGAGCATGGGAGACAGAAGTAAAACCAACCAAGTACTATGGAAATCCGAGAGCTTAAAAACACATGAAATAAAAAAGGAGAGAGGAATTAGCCTGGGAAAACACAGGAAATCTTAAATAAGACTACTCTTAACTAAGGACAAAGAAAAACAAACTCGAAACACTGGGTCAAAGACCAAGGACCATGGCACTACATCAATGTTTTAGATAAAAATAATGCAGTTATTAAACACAAGATTAACCCGGTGTTTCCAAAACTTTCTGTTCATTATTTCCCAGCTGTGTGTTTTTACATTTTAGCAATCAGTGGTTTTTGGCAATTACTCTTCCATTAAGCTTGACAGGGAGCCTCAAGCAAACATAGAAACTTGCAACTCCCTTGTTATCTGAGGATGGCTGTAATAAATAGCATGTAAATGGACATGAAGAGAAAAACATTAACATCCACACATACAAAGTATGCTTGTATTAGAGATAATCTGCAATAAGCACCGTTTATTTTGTTGTTTTCTGTACTTCCTAGTGCATCAGTAGTTGAACGTGATAGGACAAAAATAATTTTGTCTATTTCGGGCTCACACCTGCATTTGTTGGCAGGTTATAATATTTCTGATTTCTGGAAAGTGTTGTAATAGAGGTAAGATGACATGAGTTGGCAGAAAAATGATTTGTCATCATCTTTGTGGTGAAAATAATGTTAAATTTACCAAGAAAAGAAAACACAAGCATAAAACACAAACCTTTGACAATATCTACAGATGAACATAATGAAAAACATAACTCAAAATCCATAGTAGAAATTGATGAAGTAAAACAAAGGAGGAGGTGGGGGCTGCAGAAGAATTTTTAATGTTCAAGTTAAGTAGTTAACTTGAACAGCAGTTAAAAACTTCATGCTTCAGGTGCTTTTACAGAGAATTCTGACTGACTGAAAGCCGTTCCTTGAGTAGGAATGCTATATTCATCCAGTTATGTGTCGAACCAGGTTAACTAAGTTAAGTTTGTTCCCGTTTAGACATCCAGGCTGTTTTTGAAAACAAAAAACCAAACAAAACCAAAACAGGTTTTCTCCCACACGAGGCTATAGCCTTGATTTTATAATACTTTCAAAAGGACCCCTAGACGAGGATTTTACTTTCAATCTTAAAGACTAAATTAATTTTTATAGATAAAATATTGTGCTATCCCCTCGTCTTCCTATGAGTGTCTTAATGCTCAGAGGATGTTGCTATCGTCCCATTAAATACAATGACCCTGTTCTGCATGTTCAGCCAAGGATCTGGATTCAACCGGAAATACTGGAGCACAGTCAAACTTAATCTTAATCAAACTTAACTTAAAGTCAAAAACAACTTCACTGCTTCACTGAAAAGATCTTGCTGCAACAGCTTCAACTAAAAACACTAAAGATAATCTGAAAAAAGAGAGGGCTCTATACAGGCTCAGTCTCTGAGACCTATGTCTTTATTGTTAACCCACTTCAGTGTTGCTTCTTTCTAACAACCTGTACCTGGCAAACTGAGGGGCACAAAACTGACAAAGCACTACAATAAGAGCCGCTAACACTAGAGGGAGCTGTTGATATTGTAAAATTGTGAGATGGGGAGGCGGGTCAGGACTGACAAACCTAAAACTGAAGCAGAATCCTGACTCCACTCAATCCCTTTTCAAGTGGGGTGCAAGATGCTGTTTAAGTAAACCTAATTACATTAAGTTCACAGTCAAAGACCAATGTAGGAGCTGAAGTAAAGGTAAACAGCGATAAATTGAATCCTGTGCAGACATGTCAATGTAAATACAGCATACAAGGCAAAAACAGAGTTTGTACAATTCTAGTGAGTTTCAAAGTGAGAAACAAACAAACAAGCAAGGAAAACATGGAAAGCAGAAGAAATGGTGAGTAAGCAGCTTCTTAAAAAACTATTTATACCCCCTTTATTCCAATATCCCTTAATAAAATCCAGTGCTACCAATTGCCTTCAGAAGTCATGTAATTAGTAAATAAGAGTCCACTTGTGTGAACTTTAATGTCAGCTTAAGTACAGCTGCTCTTTGAAGCCCTCAGAGGTTTGTTAGAGATCACTGGTGAACAAACAGCATCGTGAAGATCAAGGAAAGCACCAGACAGGACAGAGATGAAGTTGTGGAAAAGTTTAAAACAGAGTTAGGTTATGGAAACATATCCCAAATTTTACTGAGTACTGTTTTATTAATCTGAAGAAGAGTGTGACACATCTCCAAACCTGCCGACACATGGTTGTCAACCTAATTTGGCAGCCAGGAGGGCGAAGAGAACAAGTCAAGAAGCATGGTGACTGTGGAGGAGCTGCAGAGATCCACCTGAGCAGTGGGAGAATCTGTTCACAGGACAATTATTCATGGCGGGAGCACTCTGTTCATGCACTCTACAAATCTGGCTTTTATGGAAGAGTGGCATGAAAAAAGACACTGTAGAAAAGAGCAGAGGTCCACACAAAGATAGATGTCAGTGACATGGAAAGAGGACATGGACCTAACATACTAAAACAAGAAATTAAGAAATATAAATACCAAACTCAGAGTCAGCAGAAAACAACATAGTCAGGAAGTCATTGGTACAGAATTTAATGTTACAGTTACAGAGATTTCTGACTGAAAGTGATCGTTTGAATAGGAATGCTACATGTCTCCATCTGTCTTATGTGGTAACCCAAGTGTATTAAGTTGGATTTGTTAATATGTAAACATCCAGACTGCTTTTGAAAATAACAGGATTTCCTGAGGATGTTGATCCTACCCATGGCTACACCCTTTTTCCTAGAAAACTTCTTAAAAAAAAACACCCTTAGATTTTTCTTGCTACAAAATTCTTATAATTAATTTTTTTTAAAAACTCTTCACACACTCAGCATAGGCAAAGTGAACGCAAAGTACAGTAAAGCACACCACCGCTGGACTCTAGAGCAGTGGGGATGTCTTTTCTGGAATCATAAATCACGCTTCTCCACCTGGCAATCCAATGGATGTATTTGGCGGTTGCCAGGACAGTGGTACTTGTCTGATTGTGTTGTGCCAAGTGTAAAGTTAGGTAAAGGGAGGATTATGGTGTGGAGCTGTTTTTCAGGGCTCAGCCACTTAAGTCGAGTGAAAGGAAATCTTAATAATTCAGCATCCAAAGACATTTTGACAATTTCCTGCTCCCAACCTTCTGGGAATAATTTGGAGATGGCCCCTTCCTGTTCCAACATGACTGCACACCAGTGGGCAAACTAAGGTCCACAAAGGGGGAGGACAGTGGATGTATTAGACAAACAATGGTGAATATGGAGCTGTCAGGCAGGAGGAAAAGAGAAATGTGGGGTTCATAGATGTAGTGAGAAGGACATGCAGAGGCCTGGTGTGACGGAGGAGGATGCAGAGGACAGGGTGAGCTGGAGGGAAATGTTCTGCTGTGGTGACTACTAAAGGCAGCATCTGAAAGAGGAATGCTAAAATGCAGATATCCACGGATAACACGTTAACCAGAATTAATTCATATAAGGCGCACCAGATTATAAGGTGCGCTGTCATTTTTCAGAAAATTAAAGGATTTTAAGTGCGCCTTATAATCCAAGAAATACAATAATTGCCTGTAAAATATAAACTTAAAAATGTAACTTCTGCAGTGCCAACAGGGCTCAGCAATTGATTTCCCCCAAGTGTTACATAACTGCTGTGCAAGGCCACACGAATAAACTTATAAAGGATAAATTTAATAATGCGCAGAACAGAGTTCAGCTTACTCAAGCAGCTCTTCATAGCAGCCCCATTTTCTCATGTAGCCCCATGGGACATTAATTGCTCATCCCTACAACCATATGCAATTTTTATAATTTTGACATCACATTGTGTGTCCTATGACACAAGTGAGTTCTTGATAAACCCAACAGAATGTGTTGATGATGGCACTGTGAGGCAGGATTAGGTAGAATATAGGCATTCATAATCTATAAAACAGTCTCACAGGTTTTCTATTTATTCTTTGTGAAGTAATTATCAAAGGTTCTATAAAATCAGAAGTGTTCAGGGCAACTGTTTCCAGTAAATGTGCACGCATAGGAATCCAAACGGATACAAAAAGACTGCAAAAAGACTTACCTTGCTGCAAATAAAACATTTATAAAGTATTTTAACAGAAGTTTAAAATACTTTATAAAAGTCAGTAAATATTGCAGTTCTTCCACACTCAAAGACCTGAAGACTTTTGAAGGCTTTCACATTGGAAATTTCAAAAGGCATTGATTTTGAAAAACAAATCTGAGTGATATGATAGTAAATGTGCTTCATCTTACCTGAAAGCTGGACTGTGCTACTTTATGGTAATTTGAACCACAGTTTTAAAATTTGGATTCCCTACTCAATATGACCTATTGCCACTGATTTTCAGTCCAGTTCTTGTGTAATTTAGCATACGTCAGGCTTTTGTCAGTGGGGCAGGTGAGTGATCTTCTCTTGGTGGGTCTGTCTCCTCTGAAACTCTGTTTCCAAATTCTATCGAAACAGCTGATTCCTGACTTCACCCTCGTAAACAACTCTTTCTGTTGACAGCAGTGGGCATGTGAAAAGAGAAAGCGCAGGTAAATCTGAAATCACCTCTTCAGTAGTAGCCTGCTCACCATAGTGAGCCCAACAGAGATTGCCAAATCATTGCATTGCACCTGGAGAAGGACCAGGAGACCATGACACAGGTACAAGGACTGTACGGAAAAATGAAAAATGAGTAAACATGTCCAAAATCTGACTCCTTGGAAGCAAAGGCTCAAGAATTTTACACAGTAATGTAAAGGTGATGAAAGGACGTGCTGTGATTTTTTTTTAGGTCTCCATAAGACTCTATAATCACCACTGTTTATATTATTGAATCTCCAGGCAAATTATTTTAATCTACACTGTCTTTTAATCAGATTCCACCAGAGGGCAATCCTCTTACATGTAATCAGACTTTACATGTGTTTTTTCTATTGTATTATTTTACATTAGACATTGTCTGACATGTCTGACATCTATTGTAAACATACAGTTAAACTTAATGTAGCACTCATGTGTTGTGTTTCATTTCAGTTGATCAATGTAATGTAATATGAGCCCACCTGTCTTCGTAGAAACAAGGAGGTCTCACAACTCAGCTCTTATTTTTTAAGTATTTAAATTAACTTCAAATAATAGACATAAAGACAGTATACTAAATACCACTATAAAGTTTGCTGACTTTGAAATGTGTAATTCTCAAGTAGATTCTAATGTTTTTGTTTTTTTGTCCAATTTTTATTTACTTCAAAGTATTTTCATTGCAGTAAGCTACTTTAAGGTCAGATCTGTCCACATTTAAACCTCAACTACATGAATACTTTTGACATAAATAGGTTTTTTAATTAATGATGTTATCAAACATAATGAGCTTCCAAACCTTTTGGTACTTTTGCTTCTTATAAAAACAAATGTTGGGTCTAATAACGGCTCTTTGGATTTCGCTCATGAAATATCAGAGTTGATGTCTTAGTTACAGTTTCTATATTTGTTGACTTATGCATGGTTACCTCTAAGTGCATTTTTACATTTAGCAACCAGTGAGGTTTATGAAGGTTAAGGTTCTAATCTTGACAGATAATCTTGCGTTAAACTTGACAGTGTGCCTCAAGTAAATGTTGCAAGTGCAGCTGTGTTGCAATGGCTTAGAGCTAATGAGTCACTCATTTGTGAAAATTCTTTCTGTCGTCAAACTCGGACCACCTGGCTCCAAACTGTGTGCCACTGAAGTTCCCTGTAAAACAGATCTGACTTTCAGCTGCTCCCTTATTTCTGAAAGACTCATCACAAAAAGTGGGTCTGCATATGTGATATGGCAGAGTTTTTTTTTATGGCAAATAACCTTCCTGATGCACTACCATTTATCTAGGCACATACTGAGCAGGTTTTGCATGTCAGGCAAATGTGTGAACCACTTCACCATGGTGCCACATGCAGTTTTCTATAATAAAAAAATAAACAAGAAAAACAGAGAGCTGTCTTCCTGGAACTTTGCACCTGGAAGTGAGCTATGTCAACCTTCAGGTTTCCAGCCAAGAGTGCGTTCTTGCACAAAACAAAGTTTATCAGCTTTGTGGTATTTTCAGTATTTTCATGTTAGAGTATAGAGGTTAAATCCATTTAGTGTTTTCCTCAGTGAGATTAATAATTGTGCTCTTTTTTTTTTCTTTCTTTTTTTAGCAATGACATTCCTGGCAAAATGTAAACCTGTAGGGAGGCAATGAAAAAATACATAAAAGACAACTGAATAATCATTTTCTTTAAAACATTTAATACAAAAATATTCAGTATCGGTCAAAATAAAGGTTGCGTTTCAATGATACATAGAAAATTTAAGAAGCACTATAGCCATTTCATCTTTTGCAGCACAAAACATTTTAAAGGACACAAATAGGATGATTGATTTATACATGTTACAACATAAATTATAACATATACAGATTTAAAATCTTTTAAAAATTTACAATCTACTGGGAATAAATACATGAGATCTGACTCTGAGTACTTACGTAAACGTTACCCAATACTGCTGATCAAGCTTTTTAGAAATGTGGAAATCAAAAATTTTCACAGTAAGTTAGCAAGAAATATTTTGTGACAACATCAGCATTTTGCAATCGTTTTACTCCATTGCTCGTGTCACACACAAAAGAAATCAAAAGAATACAAACTGCACACTTCCAAAAAAGCACCAATAACATGTAGCAAATATTTTTGAGAACATTTTATTTCAGTTTTCACCTCACTTTACTATACAAGCTTCACACCCAAAACCACAAAAATATATTTTCATCTTCCTTTCTCTTTATGTATCTCTGACTAAAATCACACCATGACAGAATACGAGGTGTTTTCACTCTCTGCAGAACTGAACGATCCCGTGGCTTTTCTAAGCCTTCGCTCTCGCCACCCTTCCATTGCCAGCCAGCTCCTCTGTCCCAGTAGCCCCTTACACATTCTGACTAGCTCCCGCCTGAATTTCACTCCTACAAAGCCGTACAGCAGAGGATTGAGGGCACAGTGTGACAGCCCCAGACTTTCAGTGATCAGAGTTCCAACGTCAAGCACATAGCCAAGCTCACAGGATGCACTTAACACACCCAGCCTTAGCAGACTATCTGCCAGCTGGAAGCAGGTGTATGGAGCCCAACAGATTACAAATACAGACACTAAGGAGATGATGAGGCGGAGAGACTTGCGCTTTTGGCGGCGAGAGGCATTGCACAGAGACCTGAAGATCCGGATGTAGCAGTAGAGCATAACTAGGAGGGGAACCCCAAAGCCCAGCACTACACTGACAAACTTCAGCCCCACCTGCCACTGTAAAGTGTTTTCAGTGAACCACACCTGGCACACGGGCCCCCTCTGCTGACCGACAAGGTCTATCATCACCACTTGTTTAAAGTAAATGTCAATTCCACTCAAGCCCAGACAGACTGCCCAGATGATGGCACATGCAAACTGAGCATGGCATGTGCTTCGTTTCCAACTTGAGCTGATGGCATGAACGATTGCCAGGTATCTGTCAAAGCTGATGCAGGCCAGGAAGAGGATGCCACTGTACCGGTTTAGGGAGAAGAGAGCACCAGAGATCTTACAAACAGCCAAGCCGAACATCCAGTGGTGAGCCCATTGCACTGCAAACAGGGGCAGAGTGAAGGCCAGAAGAAGGTCTGAAATGGCCAGGTGAAGGAGGAAGGTGTCTGTTAAGGAAAAGGCACAAGCTCCACTACTCTGAGAGATTCTGTAGCGTCTGATCACACACAGCACCAGCACGTTGCCAACAACTGCCAAGACGAACACCAGGCTGTATACTACAGGGGAGTACTTTTCTGCAAAACCATAGATGTCTTCCTCTAAGCACGGGGCTGCAACAGCTTCTGTCGTATTTCCATAATAATCATAGTCCTGTGAGAAGACAGAGATACAGAACTCATCAATGTCTTTCAATGTCTGGGTAATTAAAAAAAAAAAGACTTGCTTTTGGATAAGGTTCAGGTAACACTTTGTGTTTCCTAATGAACAATTATGCATAACAACTAAATAACTAATTTAAATTAATAACTAAATTTTAAAAATATCCACTCACCCAGATATTGTCTGTGGTTGACATGGCTGAATCTGGGATTGGACGGCGAGCCAGCAGAAGACCTAAAACCTTCCAAGGGAGATGAGAGTACTGTTCTCATAAACACGTTTGCCAAACATCCCTTTTCACATCTTGCCTTAGCCAGATGACAGAGGATCAGAAAGAAGAAGTAAGAATTTCAGGAACTGATTGTTTTTTTTTTTCAGTTTTAGACAGATGAAAACATAGCTAAAGTGGGAATTGATGACTGTTTCAGGAAATTTTTTACACATATTTTTAATCTGTGTCTCCACCTAGTTGTAAGCGTCAGCCAGACAGACAGAGCATGACTACTGTGCGGAAAAATGAAAAATATTCCATTGCAAGAAAACTTAGAAGAAAATGCATCCTCTTTGAAAACACAAATTGATTACACATCATAAAGTAAAAAACTATAAGTTGTCAGGTTTTAAAAAGCAGAAAGTTGTTTTTGCAAAGAAATCCTCCACAACTAAGGAGAAGTGAAAGTGCTTTGTTGGCACAAATTTTACACTCGCCACTGCTGCAAGTTCAACTTGCTTTGACATATCAAGCATTTCACTCAACCTACAATGTAGGAACTTGTTTGTTTGTTTCTTCAGGAGTATTTTTTTTCCTGTTTTTGTCAATTTATAGAATGTGAAAATATAAAACAGTTTAGAGCTCAGCAGGACTGCATTACAAGATTTATTAAGTGATTTCAAACATTGGTGACTTTGGATTTCGCTCATGAAATATCAGAGTTGATGTCTTAGTTACAGTTTCTATATTTGTTGACTTATGCACGGTTACCTCTAAGTGCATTTTTACATTTAGCAACCAGTGAGGTTTAAGAAGGTTAAGGTTCTTATCTTGACAGATAATCTTGCGTTAAACTTGACAGTGTGCCTCAAGTAAATGTTGCAAGTGCAGCTGTGTTGCAATGGCTTAGAGCTAATGAGTCACTCATTTGTGAAAATTCTTTCTGTCGTCAAACTCGGACCACCTGGCTCCAAACTGTGTGCCACTGAAGTTCACTGTAAAACAGATCTGACTTTCAGCTGCTCCCTTATTTCTGAAAGATTCATCACAAAAAGTGGGTCTGCATATGTGATATTTAATATGGCAGAGGTTTTTTTTTATGGCAAATAACCTTCCTGATGCACTACCATTTATCTAGGCACATACTGAGCAGGTTTTGCATGTCAGGCAAATGGTAAATGGCCTGCATTTGTATAGCGCTTTTTCAAGTCCTTAAGGACCCCAAAGCGCTTTACACTACATTCAGTCATTCACCCATTCACACACTGGTGATGGCAAGCTACATTGTAGCCACAGCTGCCCTGGGGCGCATTGACAGAGGCGAGGCTGCCGGACACTGGCGCCACCGGGCCCTCTGACCACCACCAGTATGTGTGAACCACTTCACCATGGTGCCACATGCAGTTTTCTATAATAAAAAAATAAGCAAGAAAAACAGAGAGCTGTCTTCCTGGAACTTTGCACCTGGAAGTGAGCTATGTCAACCTTCAGGTTTTCAGCCAAGAGTGCGTTCTTGCATAAAACAAAGTTTATTAGCTTTGTGGTATTTTCAGTATTTTCATGCTAGATTATAGAGGTTAAATCCATTTAGTGTTTTCCTCAGTGAGATTAATAATTGTGCTCTTTTTTTTTTCTTTTATTTTAGCAATGACATTCCTGGCAAAATGTAAACCTGTAGGGAGGCAATGAAAAAATACATAAAAGATTTCTGGGGGGAAAAAAAAAAACATCCCTCACTGAAAACAAAAGATCTCTCTATAAACATGCATTACATATTACTCAAGGGCGGCGTACTGCAGGTTTTAGATATCACCCTGGATCAACACACCTGAATCAAATGATTAGTTCATTACCAGAAGTCTGGAGAACTTCAAGACATGTTGAAGTAATTTAGCCATTACAATCAGCTGTGTTGGATCAAGGACACATCTGAAACCTGCAGGACACTGGCCATTAAGGCCTCGAGTTCCCCCACGTCTGGTTTAAAGGATGACAACAGGATATAAGCTGTGTGCAGAAGCAATGTTAGAGGTACTTCAAAGGCTCTCGGAAGTGAATTAAAAGTAAATGCTAAAACTGTTTTACTAAATTAGTGTACTAAATACTAAAAGATTTTAAATTTTAAATTGAGGTAAGATGAAAAATTTTTAAAAAGCGTGTTAGCAAGCAGTGGGCGACTTAATTAAAGTCACTCAGTTAAAACTACTAAAGCTGGATTAACTGAGTGAGCCATGTCAACTCACTAAAATATTATATATATATATGTATAAATAGAGCAAACAAGACTTACCTTCTGAACTTTTATAAAAACAGGATACAAGCTGATGAAGGCTGGTGAAAGAGATACTGAAGGCTTTATGATTGTGCAGGCTTTAAAGAAGACAGGATATGACATTATTTGCGTTTATCTTTGTGGTTAAATTAAACATAGGTTTAAGAGGATGACATCAGAATATATCGTTTGCTTGAAATGTGGTAGATAGGATTTCCTGCAGACGATGTCTCTATGCAGACTTTAAAAAACTTTAAAAGTTTATGAGGTTTGGGCACCAATGACACCAAAAGACAGTCAGTCCACAAGTTTGAAACTAAGGTGAACACATAAAAAAAAGGTATGTTTAAGCAGTAGATAATTGCATAGTGAGGTTCAAGAACATTCAAATGCAAATTGAAAAATTCAGTTAAAAAATGAGTCATAAACTAGACAGAGGCTGGATAGTCTGAGTGAGCCATATCCCCTCACGGTACAAGTGTTATTTTTGAAAAGCAGTTCGTTTGAGAGGAACTGAATACTGTTGTGGTTACATCTGTCTCAACCGAAGGTCTCCTGGAAAATTAAGCTATTGTGTAACATCATACATGTTTTTGTGTCTTCTGACAGCCCCTCAAACACTATGCTCCCATGTTTAAATTCAGACTTTTTCTTATGTTACCCAATGTGAACAAAAACTCAACCCTAGTGTTTTATTAATGTGACATTTTACACTTGCATTTTGTAGCTTTATTGAAATAAAAAAGTTGCAGCATGAGTCAGTTATCGGCACATTTATTTATTGGTGGATGCAAGTGTTCAGAACACAGATAGCTTTTGGAAAGAAAGGGTGTCACAATCTAGAGGTGCATGTTTTAGACGAAGAATAAGTCCCTAACTGGAAAGAGAGCAGTCCCCTGATGATGTTTTGTGGTCTGAGGTGGCAATGTTCTCTAGGGTTGACAGATAGCAACCGCTGGTTTTTTCTCCACCAGTGCTTGCAGCACCATTTTTTTCTGCCACAGAGCAGCATGCCTACCACACTGATGTGAATTATGTTATAACAGCAGAAAGTGGAGTCTCACTGAGGAACTCACAAGCTCTCCACAGTCAATACAAAATGACGCTTGGTTTGAGTCAAGCTTTTCCTGTATTTCAGTATCAACTCTTTAGTCCTAAAGGTATTCTAAGCTACTATGTTCACTGAACACCACACTGATGGGCAGTGGTGGTCTTAGCCTGTTTGGTGCCCTGGAACACCCCCTCTGGCACCCGCCCACCCCGCCCCCCGCACCCTCCACCCCGCCCCACCCCACACCCCTCAATCACACATTCAATATATTAAAGATTGTACAATAACATATTTTACTGTTATTGGAACAAATCAATAACTGACGATGACTAATGCACCTTAATATTGTGCTGAACACAATCCAAAAGATTCAGTAAGCTACATCAGTGTCTACTGTTTACTATAGCCAAGTGGCTAACAAACGTAAACAGACATTTTCACTATCCCTACTAATTAATGTTATCTTGTCGTATCTCTGTTGTGGTCAGTGCTATCTTCTATGCTGTTGCATGCTGGGACAGCAGGTTGAGGGTCACAGATGCCCACAGACTAAATAAACTGATCCACAAGGCCAGTAATGTTGTGGGGATGGAGCTGGACTCTGTCAGGGTGGTGTCTGAGAGGCAGATGTTGTCCAAGATAAGGACAATCATGAATAATACCTCCCACCCACTCCATGAAGTACTGGCTAGTTACAGGAGCACGTTCAGTGAGAGACTGAGATTACCAAATGCACCACTGAATGACACAGGAAATCATTCCTGCCCATGGCCATCTCCCTGTACAACTCCTCCATCTAATACACTGTAAATGCTGCAATAGTTACACCCTTTTTACACACGCTCTTTTTTACTCTGGAATATTCTTGTCAATTTTGTTGATATTTATTTATAATCACCTCTGTTAATTCTTGATATTTATAACTGAGTGATCTGTATATATTAGTGCTATTTCCCAAATGTGTAAAATCTGTAACACAATGTATTGTTTGGAGTTTAGTCTGTTACTGTTACTATTTTTAGAATTTCTTCTTGGACCAACTGTAACCCACATAATTTCCATAGGGATTAATAAAGTATTCTGATTCTGATTGTTTCAGGACACATGACCTGCCATTATCCAATGACACATCTGCTTACCTGTATCTTTTGCTCGTTTCTCCTCCTCTTCTTTTCTCTTTTTTCCTAAACTGAGCACCTGATGGCTTTGAACTTTTCTTGTCCACCTTCCATTGGTTTTAATTTTGCACTCCAGTATGAACATCCACCCCCCAACCCGAGGATCACCACAACATAACCTAATAGACCTACACCTTAGTTCACAGATATGCTTTGTCTAGGGTTTATTTCTGGGATTTCGCACAACCCAGGAGTCAGACCAGGAATACAAAATGGGCTTGGATTTCCACATTATGAATGAAATGTGCTCTATTTGGAAGCAGCCGCCCCCTCCCCTATCGACACTTTGTGTGCCAGACTTTAAATCATCAAACTGTAAATTATAAATTGTTATTGATCCCTTTACTGCTAGTCCTAAAGTATATATATATATTTTACTCTTTTTATATTTATTGTTTTTTTACTTGCACTGTTGTAACTGGAGCCTCGTCGTCTCGTCTTTCTGTATACTGTACTGCATGTAGCGGAGATGACAATAAAGTTTACTTTGATTTCAGCACAGCAGCAAACGGGCGCACCGAGGGCTCTCACGTTCACTTTATAGAATTTCGAAAAAAAAAAACCAAAAAAACCTTTTTCAAACAAATTATAAGACTGTATCATAATGTCTGGTGTTTCGTGTTTGTTGGTTTGTTTTTATTTTGTTATATTCTGCGAGCTGGTTATTAGATGCTGCTCCAGGCAGTGAATCCTCCGCCGCCCCGCCCTCTCCTCCATGTGCCGCAAGCAGCAGGCGCACGTCGCAAACGGAGGGCGCCTTTACTCCCAGCAAATGGGCGGCAGAAAACCGACCGGTGCCTATGCCATCTCCAAAATGCACTGGCTGATGTCTGGCAGCATGAGTACGAGCAACTTTTTTTTTATTGGAGATGCCCGTGATGCTGCTCCCACCACGATGCCACCCTGGGCAACCGCCCATGTCGCCCCTATCAAAAACCGCTACTGCTGATGGGCACATCTCATCTCTGTATGGTGACTTACCTTCACCTGATATTAGCTCAACAACAATTGCATCATCAGCAGATTAAACAATGATGTTGGATGAGTGGACAGCTGTACAGTCACTGGTGTGCGCTATGTAAAGAAGCAACCTCAAAGAGATTCAGTGTTCAGTGTAATGGATGAGGATGTATGGGGAAAAATTTGATGTGATGAGAGGGGTTTGACAAAAACCTCTTGGTCCAAGTGCAGATCAATGACTTTATAAAGTGCTAAAAATAAACTTGTCAGTGATGAAGAGACAATATTGTTTCAGTATTTCCACATTGAATCATCAAGTCAACTAATGTATTCAGTTCAATTTAATGTATGTATATAGTGCAAAATTACAAAAACAGTTGCCTTAAGGCACTTTATATTGTAAGATAGCAAAGACCGTATGATAATACAGGGAAACCCCCAAGAATTTGATGGCCCCATATGAGCAAGCACTTACACATGGTGGGAAGGAAAAATGTCCTTTTAATGGAAAGAAACAACTGGCAGAACCAAGCTCATGGAGGGGCAACCACTTACCTCGACTGGCTGGGAGGGAGAAGGGGAAAAACAGGCCAAAGACAGAGTGTAGAAGAGAACCTGAGATTAATAACAGCTAATAATTAAATGCAGAGTGGTGTATGAATGAGGTCATTAAGGTAAGATGGGCCCCGATTATTCAAGACCTTGTATGTGAGGAGACAGAGTTTAAATTTGATTCTGGATTTAACAGGGAGCCAATGAAGAGAAGATAATATAGGAAAAATACACTCTCTCTTTCTATTTGCTGAATTTTGGATAAACTCAAGACTTTTCAGTAAGTTTTTAGGACAGCCTGATAATAATGATATCCAATAGTCCAGCCAGAAAGTAATTCTCAACTAACTCATTTTTTAGCATCACGATCAGACGTTTCTAATTTGAAAGATATTGCACAAAAGGAGAGGGAAGCAGTCCTACATATTTGTTCAATATGCGCATTGAAGGACACATTCTCACCAAGAACAGTTGCAAGATTCCTCACAGTAATACAGGAGACTAAGGCACTGTCATCCAGAGAAAGCGTCTGGTTAGAGACCATATTTCTAGGATTTTTAGGGCTGAGTACAATATGCTCAGTTTTACCTGAATTTAGAAGCAGAAAGTTAGAAGTCATTCAGGTAGTTATGTGTTTAAGATATTCATTCAGTTTAACTAACTGGTGTGTGTTATCTAGCTTCAGAGCTAGATAAAGCTGGGGATCATCTGCATAGCAGTGAAAATGTATGCTATGCCTTCTAATGATAGCATATACAAAGTAAACAGAACTGGTCCTAGCATAAAATCTGTTGGAGTCTAGATAAAATTCAAACCACTGCATAGCAGTGCCTTAAATACCTAATGCTTGCCCCAATGTCTCTAATAAAATATTGTGGTCAACAATGAATGATGCACTGAAGTATAGCCTCTGACAGCAAAAGGATGATGTTACTGTCAGGTGCCATAAGAAGATCATTTTTAACCAGGGGGGATTCTAGGATCAGAGCTTTGGGGGTGTGGAGCACCCAGAGAGCTGCCCAGCCAGACAAGATAAACTTTACTCGTCACGATGAGACTTCTTCCCTGTCTCTGTCAGTCCCTGCATCCTTTAATGTCTCCAGTTATCCCAGGTTCTCTCTGACTGTCTCCTTGGTGCATTTATACCTCTGTTCCTCCCTGTCCTCGTCATCTGTTGTCTTCGTCTCCGTTATCAGTCATCATAATTTTACCATCTCTATGCAAGTCTGCAAATTTCTTTATTAAATCATAAGATTCTTAAATTCATCAAGTCTCTCTGTGCCTGGGTCCTCATCACAAAACATGACTGTTTTGTACATTTTAACACAATTTAATCCCCACATTTGTGAAAAAGGAAAACACTTTTTTGAAAAGTCTGTAACAAAACCATCAAATCTGATAAAGGTTATTTAAATGCTGCAAAAGAAGAATGGATTGGAATTTTAAAAAAAATTACATATCCTAACCTTAATTACTGGGGAAGAAAAATGAATGATGTTCATAGTGAGCAAGAAGTAAACTGAGTGGACAGAGATTCACTTTTAATGTGTATGTATAATATATTACAGATACACAAAAATACACTCCAAAAATAGAAGAGTCCTTGAAATGTACTGTGGCGGAGGTGTGGTCCCGGGCGCGGCTGCAGGGGAGGAGTGGTGCAGTGAGCTCAAAGGGGCGGTGCTGGAGACGCAGGTGAGAACAGCTGATGGCGTTTGGACTGATGATGGTTTCGTTCCCCTTTTATAGTGAGGAGCAGAGGGAGAGCTGGAAATCAGCTGAGACCGGAGCTGTCAGACTGTGGACGGTCATAACAAATGAAAACTAGAAATAAACGTGCCATCTGGCGACAAACAACTGTGTGTGTGTGTACGTGTGTGAAGTGCATTTCACATGTACAAATGTACAAAATATTAATAAAAAAAACCAAACTTAAATCTTAAAAATGGAGGAAACTTTGCCTATGGTACAATGTATACTATCTATGAAACGATCTTTACTGCATCTCCAAAAGTCGATTCTGTTCATCTGGACGTAGCGTTTTGTGGGAGAAAGGTTTCGTCACTCACCCAAGTGACTTCTTTAGTCTTAGCTGACTGCAAGTTTCCCCAATCTTATAGTACATTTGCATAATGAATTGCAAATTTATAAGATTGGGGAAACCTGCAGTCAGCTGTCCATTTTCTTACCTGGTTCTTCCTGACCATTCTCCTCACGTTCCCCTCTTTCCTCTCTCCCTCTTTGGACTGACAATCATACACAAATAGATTGTATTCAATTAGATGAAAAAATTACATTAATATGAAAAAAGCCCTCTCTCAGTGTACTTTCAACTAAAAGGAAAATAACCAAACCACATGTACCACTAATAAAAGATATGAATATTGAAACATTGATCCACGGACAATTTTAAGTTTTAGATTGTAAATAGGCTATATAAATTTCAATGGGAGCAACGGGACAGTCAAACGTCACTGATTTTATTACAGAGTAGGACGGATTGTAGGGTAGCAAACATCATCGGAAGACACATTTTCAACACTGCAGGTTACCTGGATGTAATGTTTTTCAGCTAAAAAGAAACATGTTCTGACTCCTACCTAACTATATAAAGATTAACTGAAGGTTAAATGCAGCTAAATTGTCCTGTTTTGAGGCAGGCACTTACACCTCCGCCTCTGTAACCTTCCCTAACACTATTTTTGTACTTTGCCAAGTTATGAAACCTGACAGAAACTCTTCAAATCAGCCATTTAGCATTACCATTAAACCACTCTTTCAAGAATTATTGAGATAAAAGGAAGGTTGGAGATAAGTAGCCAAGAAAGCTGGTCAAGTGATGGCTTTTTAAGTAGTGGTTTAATTACTGCCAGATTGAAGGCCTGTGGTATAGAGTTGATTAACAGAGATAAGTTAGTCATATTTAAAACTGAATGTAATGCACTATACATTTGAACTGATGATTTGTTAGCTTTTTTTAACTGAAAAAGCCATAAATAACAACAAAAGTGGTATTTGAACGGCCTAGAAGTCAGAAATACTTTGCTAAATTGTATTAAACAAGTATAATGTTTCTGCGCTGAGTACTTTCTTGAGTCACTGGTATTTACATACGGAGTGCCACTTTATAAAGTCAACAGAGTATGCGCTTGAGCGTCACAGTTCATTCAATTTTTTCAGCTTGTCCCCTGTTATGTACACACACATAATTCTAGGTGCACCATTTTAGGTGTGTGATACGCCCCAAAACCAAACATTTTTTCCTTTTTTCCTTTACAAGGCATTCAGCCCTGTTTACTTGGTCATTGTTTGCCATCTCATATCAGCATAGAAACTGAACTACAACCTATGCATACTGTGTCATTGGGTATAAGAGCTGTGGTTGTAAACCCTATCCTAGTCTTCAATTTCAGACCTTGCTTTCAGGAGCCAGATACTAACTTCAAGAGTTGAAGGGGACTGCAAATTTTCCTACAAATCAAGGTAGTTTAAACTCATCCTACTAACTGATTTTCTTCATATCTGATTTGGGGTAAACTCTTAATCAAGAAAGATCTAATAATTTTTGGTTGGAATAAAATCTTAAGAAGCTTTCACAACACAGATTTGGATATATAACATTTGCTATAAAGAAACTGTGTAAAAGTGTCTCAAAGGTTCTATAAACAAGAAAGTAAATTGGTAAAGTAAGTGACCTTCATGTTTAATTTGCTCCAAGTTATTTTTCTTCTTCTTGCAGCCATGGAATACCAGACAAATGTGATAAATGCACAACCTCAGGTGACTGTGACACAGTACACGGTCTCCCGTGGGTCGTCAGAGTGGAGTACAAATGCATGCGACTGCTGTGAAGACTGCGGCATCTGTACGTGTCTATATAAGTTCTATGGGAACATGCTGAAGTTTACCAACAGTGTAACATAACAGAAATATGATAAAACATCTCTCACCTCCAGGTCTTTGTGGAACATTCGTTCCCTGCATCCTGGCTTGTCAGGTGGCTCAGGACAGCGATGAAAGCTGCTGTCTGGCCTGCCTTCCCGGCGCCCTGATTGCTTTACGGACAAGCATACGCAACAGATACAATATTGGTGTAAGTGTGGTGCAGATTTCTAATCATTTATTAAACAAGAAGACTAGAATTCTAATCATGAATTCAATCATGAAGTCAGAAAATTCTCTAGAATTCTAATCTAGATGGTGTTTTATATTACATTTTTGAAATCCCAGCACTCTAAATATGGTTCTGTAAAAAAAACAAACTATGATGTTTGTCACCAGTTTACTGTGACTGTGCTTTTCCTCAGGGCTCTGTGTGTGACGACTGGTTAGTCATGGCCTGCATTCCAGCATGTGGATTATGTCAGATGGCACGTGAGCAGAAGATAAGAGGAAACTGAAAATTTATACAATATATGATATCCTCAAAGTATCAAAGTAATATAATATGTGAAAGTGTATTTCTTCAGTTTCTGTATCTTAAATTAAAATGTTAAAAAAAATGGCATAGACATATTGTAGTAAAGCTAAAGGATTTGATAAGAAATAAAGTCAGATAACTGGACTAAACTGACAATTTCTTCTTGTTTTTCCTTGTTTATTCTATAGTTTAATAGGATTACATAGTATATCTGTTATATTTTAAATGTGAGCTCTGAGTCTTAGAATAAGGCTTAAAACCCCCGTATCTTTCACTCGAAGTTCAACAGCGACTCATTGTGCTGACACCAAGTTTGTGCAACAAATCAGTGAAAAAATCTGACGGATATGTGGGAATTTGCAGCACGAGTAACTCTTAACCACCCTTAAACCCCCCCAAAACAAAACAAAACAAAAAGAATCAACCAGTTTATGGTGGTAAACTCAAATAACTATCATCATCATTTCTGAGAACTTTTTTACTACCTACAATACAATTCAATAATGTTCACAATTTTATATTTTTCTTTTTTTAATGTTTAACATAATTGTGTTAAAAATACGTGAGTTATAGATGTGTGAATGCAAATTGTATATCCACTCAAAAACAATATTTCAATAAAACTATTGGAATTAATGTGTTGTGATTAAATAGTTGAACACAGCTGTAAAGGATTATGAAAGAAGAAGAATACGTTGGAGACATCTTCCCCTTTCTGACTGACTGTTTTATTTTTGGCTGACCATGTACTTCAGAGCTGTCTAAAGGCACAGGGTGAGGCGAAAAGCATTAATCTGAGTAAGTACAAATTAGGGTACCTTATAACTTTAAACTATCAGGACATGTTTTCAGTTTTCCTGGGGAGGTTTGAGGAATGACATCAATATTATAAAGTTATGCTCATAAAGGGTGAATCTTAAAAGTGGCACGTATTATATAAAAAACTCTCTGAAAACTATTTCGCAACTCTTTCTATACATTTTATTTTTATAGACAGCTTCCTCTTTCTGACTCAATGTTTTTGCAGCCACCAAAAACAAAGCTGTCTAAGAAGGCAGGATAAACAGCATTAATTTAAGTAAGTACAAATTAGATTAACTTCACACATCATGACATTTTCAGTTTTCTTGGGATCGTCTAAGGATAGGAAATAAACGTTATCTTATTTGCAAAATCATAAGAATTTATGTTTGTAAAGGGTGAAAATTAAACATTATACATAGGAAAGAACCAAATTATTTCTCAACTCTTTCTATGCATTTCTTTTATCGTTCTAAAATTATTGATATCGTGATTTTTGCCATATATTGTATTCCTGTAGTATTCAATTAGGAATTCGTTGCTTTTCAACATTGTGCATTGTGTGGACCGCAATGACGTGTGAGAAACCCTAAAGAGGAGGAGAAGGGCAAACATTCATTTATATTGAAAGTGGATGTGAAAACATAAGAAAAGAGGAACAAAGTTTTTCTCATCGTATAAATTTCTTCGGGGACACGCTCCTCACACCTCAGGATTAGAAGATTCTTTTATGCTGAGACTATTCCTAGAGACTCGCAACTGCTTCTAATAAGAAACGGTAACAGCAACAAGAAAAGGTAAGAATCTGAGCTTGGGTTAGTAAAGTAATTATAAAAATATTTAGTCTAAATTAAAATGTCAGTTGAAGGCAGCAGGCTCCAATAACCATGATGAGTGTCCTGTATACTGTTTCTACAATATTTTAAAAATGATTAAAAATCTATCAGATATACAATGCTAGTTTGTCAATTTACGTCTTTATAATGTTTAAATGTACTTGTACTTGGGGCGATCGTGGCTCAAGAGTTGGTAGTTTGTCTTCGAATTGTAAGGTTGCCGGTTTGAGCTCGGACAGTCAGCTCAAACCGGTCGTTGTGTCCTTGGGCAACTTCATCTACCGCCTACTGGCGATGGCCAGAGGGGTTGATGGTGCGATATGGCAGCCTTGCTTCTGTCAGTGTGCCCCAGGGCAGCTGTGGCTACAACTGTAGCTTACCTCCACCAGTGTGTAAATGAATAGTGGAATTGTAAAGCGCTTTTGAGGGTCTTAAAAAGCACATTATTATTATTGTCAGATTTTAAGAGACAGCTGAAAACATCAATGATATACCTAAAGCGAGAATTTGCAATCTGATATTAGAATTTTTTTCTGATTTGAAAGTATTCTCTTTTCAGATCCCTGCATTCACCTGATGAAAAAACACAGAGGCCTTTAGACGTTTTCAACTTAATATTTAAACAAACGAAACGAAAAAAAAGGAGCCAACAGAAGTTATTTAAAGGACTATTTCTTTGCACTGCAAGAAGACAAAATGGGAAACCATCAGCTGCTGTCAGTTACAGTTGTTCTTGCAGCTGTTCAACTCACCAGTAGTTACAGTTTCAGGAACTGCATTGCAGAAGCAGATTCTGATGGGAAAACTTTCAACTGCATGCATCGGAATGCAATGCATATTTCTGATATTGTCAGTGACCTGCCACCATCTGCCATCAATCTCACCATTTTAAGAACTCCTCTGACGGACCTTCCTAACAACAGCTTTAGTAACCTAGTAGACCTTCAGCACCTCAGAATTGATAATAATTCCTTGACAACCATCCGTCAGTTAGCTTTCCAAGGCTTGTATCAACTGAAGAATCTAAACATGTCATTAAACAAAATATCAGCGCTCAACCCTTCTCTGTTTAAGGACCTGCAGAATCTCACCTCCCTCTTTTTGGCCAACAATGCATTGGAGCGGCTGCCCGAGGATATTTTTTCATCTGTTCTCAAGCTACACACTTTAATCCTGAGACAAAACTTTCTGTCAGATTTCTCAGGCATTGCTAAGTCTGTGGCACATCTGACAAATCTGACAACACTGGATCTTTGCTTTAACAATTTGACCTCCCTCAGACACTCAAATGTGTCACTGCCCCAGTCCCTCACTGTTTTGTATGTTTGCCATAATAATCTATTAACGCTGGGATGTAAGCCTTCATTTCTCAGCTTTATCAACATTTTAGATTTGTCATACAATTCTCAGCTGCCTACAAAAGCCTTTGATCAAATTGATTTGAGCACTATAAATTATTTGCATTTGCGTTCAACAAATGTAACAATAGTGGAGTTTTTAAACATTAGCAACATCAATCCAAGTCATGTTGATTTCTCTGGTACAGGACTGAACAATGACAGCATGCTCAAAGAATTATGCATACTGTTGAAAAAAAGGCTGAAAGAGAAAAATCTTAAAAATATGAACCTGGGTAATAATGCAATTAGGCAACTTACAAATAACACACTGTCCTATTGTCCTAATATCACAGGGACTTTGGATCTATCCCGCAACAACCTAAAGAGTGCATATTGCCTTGAGTTTCTTAGAAGACATGTATACATAGAAGACTTCAAAGCAGAGCACAACCATCTCAGCTCCCTAATATACTGTAAAAAAATGTTTCAATTTAAAAAAATGGAAAATCTGAGTTATCGTTACAATCGCATCTTAAAAGTTGACTCTCATGCTTTTTATCATACACCAAATATCAGGACGCTACAACTTAACATAAACAGTATTGCATTTCTCCATATACACGCTCTCAAGGGACTAAAAAAGCTCGAGACACTTCGTTTAGACAATAACCTCTTAACTGATTTGTTCAGTGTCACATTTGAAGATCTGGTCAGTTTGCAAATTCTTAACATTCGCAACAACCGCATTTCTGTCATTTTCAATAGGACTTTTTTCAACCTGACATTTTTAAATACACTGGATCTTGGAGGTAATAAGATTACCCATTTTCAGCGATCGGGTCTTGATGGACTAAAAAGCCTGTCCAAGCTCTATCTAGATGGAAACCAGCTAAAACAAATTGACCCTTTCTTATATCGTGCATTTCAAGACACCCTCACTGTGCTAGATTTACAGAGTAATCAGATTTGCTTCATAACAGAAACTCATGAGTCACCATTCATGAATCTCAGCAGACTGACTGATCTGAAATTAGATCGGCAGCGACCTAACGGACTCACCGTTTTACCACGCACTTTACTACGTGGCCTCTACTCACTGAAATCTTTGTATCTCACCAACAATAACATATACCATCTTGCTCCTGATACCTTTGATGACCTAACAGACTTAAGTTTCCTCACACTGGATAACTGCTGTGTTGGGGTGAAAAAATTAGAACCAGGGGTCTTTAAAAATTTAAGAAATTTGACCAGATTGGCTGCAGAAAATATGGGCATTCAGAACTTCTCTAAAGAGGTTTTTGGGAATCTTACACAGTTACGTTTACTGCAGCTCAACCGCAATGCCATGCAGACTCTTTCTGTAGACGCATTAATGAGTCTACCTATGCTTCGTTACCTTGACATACGAGATAATCCTGTAAGCTGCACCTGCAACAACGGGCCTTTGCAAAATTATACAAAGAATAACACAGATGTTCAGGTGGTGTACCTGTACAACCTGTCATGCCAACACAATCCAAAACTCAAATTTTACAATTTTGACACTAAAGTTTGTCGCGGAGATATAGGAATGTACCTGTTTTTTAGCACATCAGCTGCAATCTTCTTGTTTACAATCATTCCCTTATTCTATGTTAAACTCTACTGGAAAATGAAGTACAGCTACTATGTGTTTCGGGCCTGGTTTAGTGAGCAGTGGAGCAGATTCCATGAGGAGGAGGAGAATTGTAAATATGATGCATTTATTTCCTATAACTCATCTGATGAACAATGGGTCATGGACCAATTGTTACCCAACTTGGAGGGAGGCGGATCATCTTTTAAGCTTTGCCTGCACCACAGGGACTTTGAGTTGGGCCGTGATATTGTGGACAATATTGTTTCTGCTGTATACAGCAGCCGGAAAACCATTTGTGTGGTGAGCAGGAATTTTCTGCAAAGTGAGTGGTGTTCTCTGGAAATCCAGCTTGCCAGTTACAGACTCTTTGATGAGCACAGAGATGTTCTCCTGCTCGTTTTTCTGGAGCCAATCTCTGAGAGGCAGCTGTCTTCGTATCATCGCATGAGGAAAGTTATGTTAAAAAAAACTTACCTGCAGTGGCCTGGTTCAGACTGTACTAACCCAACACAGGCGCAGGAACTGTTCTGGAATCAGCTGCGTAGAGGAATAAAAACAGGGACCAGACTAGAGACAGAAGAATATTCTGCAACTCGTGAGAGCAAAGAAGCTGAAGACTTTACGGATGAGAGATCTGATGAAAACTTTTACTTGCAACCTTAGAAAGAAAATAAGAATGTGTGATTTGTGGTTTTACTCAATTAACCTTTCAGTCTAAATGTGTTTATCTGTGATGAAGTTATGTTGTAAATATGCAATATAATGTGTAATAAATGTAAGAGCAGCTTTTGTTAATTTTATGTTTTGCAGTGTTTATGTATATATGCAATTTCTAAAAATGTCTTTTAAATTACTGTTTTGCATTTAAAGGGATGCGCAACTTTCACAAACAAATAATATTCCATTATGACATGTGTTTTTAATTGTACAGAAGTCCAAAATAAACATAAATGCTTAAAAAGGTTGAAAATGATGCATAATCAAAGGCTACTTAACTCAGCAAAAACAGGACAATAGAAAAAGACAGGTTACTCTTCAGAGGATAGCTATTGCATCTATGCTTAATGCTATGGTTATATTAATATGGGAACATAACATGTTTATCACTCACTAAACAAAAACCTTGGAGTGCATAAATTAAGGGAGAATTGTACTTTAATCAGTCATAGAAATATTGATCCACATGCTTGTATGGAGAGCTTTACCACACATTAGTACAGTCTCATAGGAGGGAAGGACCACGGCTCAGGGCTAAGGAAAGCAGAAAGGGAAGGTGAAGGGTCTCTCTCAAGAATGAATGACGGAGGGTAGTGCATAATATCAGTGTGCTGGGACTTCAGAGAACAAGCTGAAGCGTGACTGAACTTGTTTGAAGGTTGGAAATGGCTGCTCTGATGGTGAACTGGGGCAGCAAAAGAGGGAACACAAGAGTACATATCAGTTCCAAATGGGTCTTCCTGCTGGGCAAAGTGCATTGGCTCTCCTGCGTATGTTTCTGGCAGCTGCGATTGGTAAGGAAAAGAGGGCTGGGAGTTGCTGTCAGAGTACTGTAGGCTCTGATTTCCAAGTAAGCTGGATTGGTCCATGAAGCCATTTTCAAAAGAACCAAATGTAGCTGAATTTTTGCTCTTTGACCAGTTTAAACCATCTTGCCAGTTCTCAGGTACAGAAGCCCCTTCTCTCTGGCATAAAGTGGTAGAAGGAGCAAACAAAATGCTTTCTGGAGCTTCACAGGTCTGAAGGTTCATGAACAATGGAGGAGAGAGACTTGGTCTGAGGATATCATCCAAAACACTGTCAGCCATATCCGCAGGGCTCGCCAGCCACTCAGTAACCTTGACAATTAACATAAGGAATCATTATTTATTATCAGAGAATCTTATATTATAGAAATCTGAAAATAACTTAAGAGTGACAATGTAAACTGAGGGCCTCACCTGTTTTTGACTGCAGTGTTGCTGCAGACTGGTCTTCCAGCTGGAATGGCTATTTGCTGGCATATTAAAAGAGATATCTAAAAATAAGGAAACAAAACTGAAAAAATGTAGGTATGTCATGCCTACTTCTGTTTTTTTTTTTTAAATAACCACATAAAATGATGTAAAACCAAATTGATGGTTTGTGTCTTTTCTGTATTCTTTACACAAATTAATCTCCTGACATAAAACAAACACAAAACACTTTTTAGGATAGGTCAAAAAATCCAAACCTATCTTCACACAATGGATGCCTATTAAAAAAAAAAGTATTTTTAAAAAAAAAAAATCTTCCTCATCATGCAATACATGGAGTTAAGATCAATGTTTTCTCTTTTAAAAAAACAACAAAACAAAACAAAAAAACAGCAGAAATGTTGGTTTAAAGATATTTAACAGTAAATAAACCTTTAAAACTATTTTAGCACAGAAGGCATTATCCAGTCATTCTTTAAGGGGAAAAAGGTTTTTTTCAGTGTTTCACTTCTCTTCCGTAACTGTTTTTGCACGTGTTTGACAGAAGGAAGAGGTGGCACAAAGACAGACAAGTATAAGAGAGGACAGTGGTGAGTTAATGACAACTGATTGAAGTGCAAGAAATGTTAATTATTCTAAAACCATAGATAGACAGATGCAGATTTACACTAAACATCTGTAAGTCTGATAGTAGAGAAGCTGGTCCTAGCTGGAGTACCAATAACTCTCTGCCAAAGTTAAATCTGAACCAAATACACAAGGTCTACAAGGCTGAGGGGGAGTAACAATTACTGCAACGGTAAATTCTATAGTACATGACAGCACAAAGACACGGGAAGAAAAAGTGACAACAGGTAAACGTGATGTAGGTGGAGGTCATGGTCAGTCTCTAAGGGAAACACTTTGTGCAGAAATCGCAATTAGTGTATTTAAGTTGTGTTTGTATTGTGTGCATAAGAACAAAATAATGTGTGTGAGCTTACAGGATGCAGCATGCACTATTACTAGTTCAATTTAATCTGAATGACTAAATGGTTAAAATACACCAACATAAAAAGACAGTGTAAATGTTCAAGCTATCAAACAAAAGTAAATGTAAGAACTTAAATATTTCTTACCAATCAGCTTGGCAATATATTACTAACAATCACTTTTATACTAAGTACTTATAAGTAACAATGAATGCAAAGATAGTCCATAAACACTTTTAAAATAACGAATTTTGAGCATATAATCTGTATCACAATGTAATAACATCTATCAAACAGATGTTTGATCAGCTGGAAGTTACACAGTTGAAATTATTACCATGTCAACCAGCATGGCTGTGGTCAAACAGAGATCATTAGACATAATCAGTTAAAAACTTGCACCAGAATATCTCCCCTATGATAGTGATAGATAAAGTATAACAAGTAGTTGTTACTTTAAAAAAAAAAAACGTTGAGCTTGAACAAATCTGCGCTTTCCTTTATATTATGGGGGACATGTATTTTAAGCTCTAGACCAAAATACTAAATTTTGCTCTACAAGGGCCTGATATCCACTTACGATGACATTATAGTGCCACAGTTCAATTGAAATTTTAAACGAATATCCTCATATGTGCGTCTCATTTTTGTCAGAAACAAAAATCAGGTAAAGAAAATCTGGCAATTCTTTGTTTTTACACTCATCAGGTCCCAATGAGCCCAAATATCAAAAAGAAATAAAAATGCATGCCATGGAAGAGTTCAAGTCTCAAGAGGTTAATGCTCACCTGCGGCAAAGCGATTCTCTTCATTTTTCCTGGTTGGCTCTTGATCATGATCTTGGTCTTTCTTTGTGGGATGCACAGCAAAGCTACGATGTTGCTGAAGTCTAAGGAGGTTCTCTTGAAGCCACGGTCCATGTGTTTCCCTCAGAGAGTTTAACAGGACCTCCCTGCTCTCTGACAGCAGGTTTCTCCTACTGATCGACGGAAGCTTCAAACGTTGACACAAACGTGCTGCTACTGCACTGACAAACTGCTGAACAGGGGGCTCCTGGTTCTTTGGGGTTTGCACAAGAGTAGAAATCACACGTTTCTTTACATTTGTGTTGAAAGACTTAATATTGTCTCTGTCAACAACCGGAGTCAGCAGTGATTCTCTGCTGTTTTCAGACATGACACATGCCCACTTGGTTTCTGTTGTTAGTACATCGAGGAAGCTGTGTTTAGACCAGTGGCTGCTTTGAAAACTTTCACATGAAAGAGGGAGTTGTTGTTGTGGTTTCTCTTCTGTTGTGACATCTGACTGCTTTGACTCAAACTGGATGTTGTTCTTTTCCTTCTCTTGGCAGTCAGTGTGGGCTTTTGAAGCAGGGTCTGTATTTTTTCTGAATGGCACACAGCTCCCAACATCTGTATCAGCTCCCAACAAAGCATCAGTGGACAGTGAAGCAGAATTGTGCAATGCTGAAGATGAATGTGAAATTACAGTGTTCTTTTCTTTTCTTTGTTCCTCCAGTTTTGGCTGTTCACTTAGCAAGCGTTCAAAATCAATAGACTTCACCTCATGGTTAAACAGGCCATGGTGTCCTGTCAGGCGGCCGTCTGTGATGATACTGGGCTCCTGCACAGAGCGCACAACACTTGGAAATGGTGGATTTCTCCTCGAAGAACAATGGCAACTAGCACAACAGCAGTTATGCAAATGTGCCATGTCTATGTTGCTTTGGCAATGACGGTAGTGATGATGATGGTGATTTGACTTGATCTTTGAAATCTCTTTCCAGCCACCTCTTATTTGACTCCTCTCCTTGCGGGTCTTCAGTCGTTTCATTTTTTTCTCCTCATTTGCCTTACTGTAGTGGGTTGAATATCTGGGAAGAGCACTGAATCTTTTTGCAAAGCAACACTTTTTATCTGTTGTTTTTGTTTCTTGTTGAAAATTGTTGACTTTTCCTTCTTATAGAGGTCCTGCCACACACATGGCTCATGCTGCATTCTATTCTGTAGAAAAATAACCACAGTTAGTAAAGCAGGCTTGATAATACAGGATGTGGTTGTACCTCATTGAGGTCGACTCTAGTATTAAAATTAAGAGCAACTTACCAATGATTCAGTGAAACTGACTAAATATAAATTTGAATGTGGGCTTTGACTTGAACATGTAGACCACACATAATACAACTTTCTAAACACTTCATAAAAATAATAAGAAAGCATGTAACATACTTGCCATAGTTTAGCAGAGATAGATAAAGTATGAAAAATGTCTCCTTTACCTTAACATTATTTGTGCAATTAAACCCTGAAGTGAGGATCATTTCATGTACAGTACAAATTGTAAGGAAATTAATTTGCATGACATTTAAAATCATATTAAACTACAGACACAAAATCATTCCAATATATAATGTATTATTTGACCTGTTCCACAATCACAAGAGTTTCACCATATATGTGCAGCTGTACACACTAAAAACTAGGTTTCGAGAAAAACATTTCACATAAATGGGCGAAAAAGAGACACTGAGCAGATGGGCCAACTGCAGTCAGACTTTGAGCACTTTAAGTACCCCTTCAGATATTTTTGCAGTTTTATAGCTGTGGTTACATTTCTCTGTGCATGCATGGTTGTAATTATTTATAACGTTTGTAATTGTATAGATACTGAATAGTAAGGTGAGTTGAGCTGACTACACCCATCAAAGTTGCCTGTCAAGTTCATATGGTCTGCTGTTAACCCTGTGTAAAAAAATAATAATAATAAAAATAAAAACATTAAAAAAATATAATAATAAAAATATGTGCAGTATTGAGATGACTGCAAGTCAAAAGTACTGCTTATATAATATATGTGAATGTACTTATTTCTACTCTGAATGTCTGGGGGGGAAAAGCCCCGGACAATATCCTGTATGCACACAAAAAAGTTAGAACTTATACTTCTGTTTGCCCTGTTGGGCATTCCTACAGTCTGTCATCTGCCTCCATCTCACCCCATCCCACTTCTGTAACACCAACCTGCTACTTTCATTACATCCATAAACCTCCTCTGCAATCATCCTCTTTTTCCTTCTGCCTGGCATCTTTATCTTTAACATGCTTTGCCCGTTGTGTCCACTATCCATCCTCACCATATGTCCAAGCCATTTCAACTTTGCTTCAATGTCCCTCCTAGTCACTCGCAACTAAAAATTTAGAATCTTCAGCGCCACCTCCCGTCTTTTTGTCAGTGCCACCGTCTCCAAACCATACATCATCGCAAGTCTTACTAACATCTTAACTTTCCTTTTGCATTCTTCTATGCTTATGTCGCCAATCACACCTGACACTAGTGCCCACTCACTCCACCTCGTCCACAACCTCTTCACCACTTCCTGTGTGGACTGTTCGTTGCTTTGGATGGTTGACCCCCAGGTATTTTGAACACAAATCAGCTCGAACTAATACTGAAACTTAATGAAAACTTAACTAAAACGAGCAAACTAACTGAATTATGTCAGCAAACTAACTTGGAGATTAGCAAGCACCTACTATCCCCAGGTGTAATTTAAGTTAAGGTGACACGCGGTGCATGAAGTCCAAGCTGTAGCTGCTTAGAAGCGAAAAGTATTTCCAACTTTAGCAAACTGTAAATCAGTTAAAACCGTAAATACATGAGAAAAAAATAAATGAAAAGGAAAAATAGTTAATAAACATAGTGTCTACTTACCAAAGTCGTTAACAACCGCTTAATTTTATCGCACACCGAATGTGTCGTTGCACGGCAACACGCAGCCGTTGCGTTTTTTACACGCAGTGATAACGCCCAAGAAAGCCCACGAGTTGGACGAAACTACCCTCACAAAACGAGGGGTTACACAGTATCAACTCTGCTCCATTTCTCTACTTATGTAATCCTTTATTATTTACATTCTCATATCATATTTTGCACACTACAATTTTATATGTTCAAACGTCGGAAAATTAAAATATCTAAAACCATACATGTTGCTGACTACTCATGATAATGGTACGCTCTGCTGTGCTGAACCTCACTTCCGGAAAGTGATTCGGGGGGACAACAGTGTTTTTGATTTAGTGGTATGCTATGATAAGTTATACCTCTTAATGCAGTCATTATGTTAATCTCTACCCTTTTCCATTCTGCAGAGCACAGGCCTATTTAATTTCACAATTTCTCTTATCTTTGTTCAACTACATCTCTTATGTGTTCCAGCATGTTGAGCTAGCTATTGTAGCTAACTTTGTTAGCTTCCACAGATCTCTCAAGCGAACAGAGCTATGGGCTATTTATGAATTGGTTTGTATACATTGCTGAAAGTGTGAAGAACTCAATGCGACTGTTTTCCCAACACAGGTAAAGCAGAATGAGTGCAGGAGAACCAAACCCAGCCGCCACACCCACTCCCTGTGAAGACACGCAGGGAGATGGACGATGGATGTCTATGGTGTGTGACTTTTATATTATTTATAGGTTTTATAAAGTACGGTGTTATATTATTCCGTTTGCATCGTTGCTGATGTTTAGTTCTGCAATCAGTGAAGATAAAGGGAAGCTTCATAATTGAAAAGAGCCAGCTACTAACATATTGTAGTACATATTGTTGCAATAATGGCCTTCATAAATTATTTAAACCTGTCTAATAAATGAAAATGCAATGGCTTGTGAGGGGTGTGCAGTTTTGCAATTGATTGTGAAAGAAAGGAGAAAAGTCTTGGCAAATTAGTATTTTTTCAGACACATGGGGATATGCATAGATATTTCATTAATTGATTAAAAAAAACCCATTAGAAAATGTTTTCTCTATCCACATAACAGCGCATTCTAAATACATTTTTGTACCTGGACTTGCCATGTAAAAATGAAATTGCTGGTGTTACATTCAATACTGCACTGTGATGATATCAAAGTGCTTCTAGAAAGTAGACTCGCCACTCGTTAGCCTTTTGGCGTTGCCATCGGGCATTCATTTGGGTAGTTATTTTAAAGGATGTCTCTAAATGAACACAAATGTCAGTAGTCACCAGAAAATCAAAAGAAACATACCATGCTGATTCTTAAAAAAAACACAAGGTTTTAAAAAGTTTGTCTTGCAATATGTGCGGATGTTGTGCAATGGTTGGTACTGTAGTAAAAATATATATACATCTTTTACATTTTCTTTTTGTAGCACAATCGGTTTGTGTCCGACAGCAAAGACAAAGAACCTGATGTCCTGTTTGTTGGAGACTCTCTTGTTCAGCTCATGCACGAGTTTGGGGTAAAACAAAGATTGCATTGATATGTGTGCCTCTGTCCATTATGTAACTGATTTACGTTTTCTCATAAATGTTTTCAAAGTGTGAAAACTTGTTGTGGAACATGTGAATGCAATATTATTGTGGTTTGTCTGCAGATATGGCGTCAGTTGTTCTCACCTCTCCATTGCCTTAATTTTGGGGTGGGTGGTGATGCAACACAACATGTGCTGTGGCGACTGAGCAACGGTGAACTGGATAACATCAGCCCAAAGGTTCAAAACAGTGCCAGAAATAGATAACATGATCATGCTTGTTTATTCACACAAAAGACTGATTGTGCTCAACTCTGTGTTAAAATCCCACTTCCAGGTACATTGGGTCAAAATATCAGCGACATGTGTTCAGTCATGCATTGCTTTGTCGTTTGTTGTTGCAGGTCGTAGTGCTGTGGGTAGGAACTAACAATCACGGTCACACTCCTGAACAGATCTGTGGAGGCATCTTGGCTATTATCCAAGTTATCAAGAACAAGCTTCCCAATGCCCACACGCTTGTACTTGTACGTGTTTTTCCTAAAGCATTCCTTGTATCAGGTGTTAATCTGCTCACCCGCATGTTTTTTGAAAATGACTAATGAAGTTAATTCAACCATCAAAGTACAGTGCGATGTCACCCCTTTTAGCAGCATCTTAGCTATCTGAAATGAGGTGAAGTGTAAAGTTATGGATGCTTCTTCATAGGCTGGAACTTTGATTATCTGTGAGCCATTTCATGTAGTATATTCAAGGATTTTAAATATACACTGCAGACATTGCTCATAAGAATAAGGGCTTGGAAGTATTTTGTTCTGAGGCCCATTTGGAAAAACAGTGCAGCACACACTCTACAGACATGCTCTTCAACGAGTCTGCAGAGAATAGCAGCTTGATGGGAGCTGTGTAGAAGCTGCAATCGCTGCTGATGCTGTTGCAACTAAAGTTAGAGACTGAAACTGAAATATTTTAGGTACTTAGAATAAAACGAGACTTTTGAAAATTTAATGCTAACTGGAACAACCTTTTTTGGTGAACCTTGGAAACTAATATCAAATGAAAATACAGAGGAACTCTCTTCAGCTTGAGTCTTTGCCAATTTTGTAGAATCTATCAATGCAAGTTGTCTGATGATCCTGTGGTGAATATGTTTATTGAGACTGGGATGAGTTACGTGTATTTAGGACATGTTATATGTATTCTAATAACTATTCCAAAATTCTTGAATTTTTTATCTTGCTATAATGATCTCTTTAACGGGGTTGGCCAGTCTGAACAAAACTAACATCAGATCACTAACATCTATGGGTTTTTTTTAAAAAGACTTAATAGTTTTCGTTTGTTTCATGTGCTATCTTCAATGTATGTCACCTATATGTAAGTTAATGGTTTAAGAAAATTGGATCCGCAGTAGAATTTTGTTCAAGTCACCACTAAATACAGAAAGAAGAATTAGAAAAAGTGCTGCAAACCTGGTTAACTCTGGTAATTAAAAAAAGACTGAGATTTTCAGACAATAAAAACTAAACTGAAACGGCAACGGCTTAGAAAATCTGCTTGAAAATCAAATGATGCTATATTGTATTGTATGTAAATGGATATCTTAGATTGTTTGGATCAGAAGGTTTTGTGCTATATGATATGTAGTTAAAAGTAAACCAGAGGAGTCTCTGCCTGGTCAGGTGAATGTTAGGGGGCCAAAAAGCTGTACTTGTTTCAGACAGGTCTGAAGTTTAACTGTATTAATTTACTGTATATGTACTAGGGGCAGAAACTTAATTGGAAATTCAGCTAACACGCATATGAAATAAGGAATATGAAACATTTAAAAATAAGTATGCTAATGTTTGTTTTCCAGAGTTTACTGCCCAGAGGAAAAATGCCAAACCCTCTACGGGAGAGAAATGCCAAGGTGAACGAGCTAGTAAAGGACACCTTAACATCCCTTCCCCGTGCCTCCTTCTTCAATGTAGACCCCGGCTTTGTTCACTCCAATGGTAGCATCTCCCACCAGGACATGTACGACTACCTTCACCTGACCCCGAAAGGATATCAAGCTGTATGTGAACCTTTGCATGCCCATCTCAAGGCCCTGCTAGGTGAACCTACTGACAACTGAGCATCTAGGTCACAAAAGTACACTACCACAGTGGTCCTTGTCCCTGTTTCAAGAAACCATTGCACTTATATTATTAAGATGTGTAATGATGGATAGAATCAGTTATTGAGGGCTAAGAGCTGCATAAACTATTTGTGGAAGACCTCTTCAAGGCCTTGGTTGGTGACCACTGTTAAAGACAATGTGACCATACGGTTTTTGTTTATATGAATTGACAAATCCCTACTTCCATTCCCAATATTGCACCTGTTCCATTAGCTTCTCTGACACAAAGAATCAATACAATTGGACAATTTTGTTTGTTATCCAGGGACCCTCTGGTTTAAGAGAATAATAATGAGCTAATTATACTGTCCATTATCACCCTCATGATTGGCACCGCTCACTAAAAGTGATGTCATATCCACCGGTGCAAGTTTTTGTGTCATTTTAGCCGGTCGCACACCTCTCAATTTTTTTTACCTGTGTGTGGGTGGCATTGGCACCATGGCCGGTAATTCCCAAATTATACAGAGGGAGATGCTGCAACAGCTTGACAAAAAGACTTCTTAAAAACTCAGCTTCTGGTTTGAGCTTCTTCTACTCTTAAAGAGGGCTGATGTGGAGGTTTTATCTCAGTGATGACAGTTTGTTTTAGAAAATGCTGTAGCGGGTAACTGAGCCCTAAGCACCAGTATTAATGGTGACTGCTGTGGTGATATCACTGTTTGCAAATAACACGACTAATGCGCTGACCATAAAGCACCCTTTAACGATACGTGAAGAGATGGCTGTTAGAGCACACATCAGTCCAGATGTTCAGTGGTCATGAATAAATTTCAAAAGTAGGCAGCAGCTTTATATTCTAAGGAAGACATTCT